ATGGAAGGCTGAGTCAACCTTGAGCCGGTGAGATTTGAACTGCTGACCTGCTGAACACAGTCAGCTAAAGTGGCCTGCAGTACTGCACTCTAACTGCTGCACCACCTCAACAACAATAGAAAATAAATTGTAAAATAAAACCTACTGCCTATTAATGGGTGGTGCGGTGGCTCAATATTTAAGACACTGGGCTTGATGGCTGGAAAGCTGACAGCCCAGGTTCAAGACATGAGCTTCACGCCACAGGCTGAGCTCCCATCCTCGCCCCAGCTTCTGCTAACCTAGCAGTCTGAAAGCATGCAAATGCTAGTAGATAAATAGGTACCACTTTGGTGGGAAGATACCAGCATTCCGTGATATCATGCTGGCCACAAGACCATGGAAATGTCTTCAGACTGTGCTGGGCTCAGTGGTCTTGAAACGGAGATGAGTACCGCCCCTATAGTCGGCAATGACTAGCAGAGTAAAATCTGCAGGGACCTCTTTACCTTTATGTCTATTAATAACCAACATTGCTATTTGGTTAACTATGGTATAATCTCCTTAGTATTTAAGATTTTAATTATGATTTTATGCATAGCAGATATTCCCAGTCACTATCCTTCAATATACCAAGTATTTTATAGGTTTCTGGTGCTTGAGGTGCTCACTGATGTTCTGGGGAGCTGCAGGTAATGAAACTGTGAGGTGACACCACTAATGGGCCTGCTGGACATGCATGCAAATGCCCTGCCAGTGATGCCTCCTCAGTGGCTGGAGTGCCACCCTGTGCTCTGACAGCATGAGTACCGTTGCGTCTAGCAGCAGTTTCAATTTTCTTCTCCATCTCGAGTCTTCAATGAGTCTTTATCACTCTCCCAAAAGTGAGAAGATAGGCGGTTGGGGCCCAGCACCCTGAGAAAATGAAATTTTATGAGACTTGGTTTAATGTCATGGTTCCGACAGGCAGAGACGAATAAAGCAGAACTCTGAGGCTTGCAAATTCCTCAAAGAACATGTTTATTAGTTACAAAGTATTGGCACATCAAAAGTGAAACCAAGTCTGGAGACACATGTAACAATTCCCCAATACAATATTAAAAAATCCCACTTTTGAAACTATGCAAGCAATTACGTTCCCCAATACATCTTCTTGGCGGGCTTTTTATGCAACGCCCAGCCTGCAGTCTCGGGAGCAGCCAATGACCTTGGTTTCCCCGGAACAAAATATTATTTTGATTAGCGAAGCATCTGGACAACCCTCCTCTCTCTGTTCTATGTGGCAACCGAAAAATGAGAAGGAAAATGGCTGTAGCCATGGTCATTTGTAGAGTTGACAAAGAGACTAGACCATACAAAGGCCCGCAATTGGCCAATATTTGGCCTGCGGGAATGCCCCGGAGATGACAAGAGACCAGCTTCTGCCGCCCTGGCCCCGGCCCCACCCAGCCGAGTGGTCCCCAAGGCGCATGCACAGGAGGCAGTAAGCGCGCAGGGACCAACAGTGTCCAGCAGCAGGGGCTGCATAGCCCGCTGTAAATACTGAGCCGGCCCTTCAGCAGCAGCGCTATGGTGGCACCAGCAGCACGCAAAGTGGGGGGCACTTGATGTGGACCGCTGGACATGCCTATTCCATCCCATCTGTTTCTGGCTGGAGAGCAGGTCGCCACTGGTTTTTTATATATATATGTGTGTGTGTGTGTGTGTGTGTGTGTGTGTGTGTGTGTGTGTGTGTGTTTTCTGAGGTTTTCGCAGGTGTTTGTATGTAGGTCTTTGGTTATTCGGGTTTTCTCCCGCGTCAAATTGGAAGTTTTAATGATTAACAAAAAAGAGACAGGAACTACCCCTCTGAACAGTTTGAGGGTGAGTATAGAAATAAAGTAAATAACTTCTTTATCGTGGCCAGTCAGGAAGAAGGAGTGGAGAATTTTGAAGTGAGGAGGAGAAATAGAGATAGAAAGTGGATCACGGAAGAGGAAGAAACATTTAATGCTTTCAGCCTTCAAGGGGAAAAAAAAGAAGAAAATAAAGAAGATGGTGCAGTGTCTGAAATTGTCAAGGTTCGGAATATCAGTTCTCTAGCAAGAAATAACTGTTATGTAAATTTAACAAACTGCCCCAAACTGTAGTGACTCACAAAGTATCTCTCAATTTGGAATGGCAAGAAGAAATAACTTAAAAGTTTAAAGCTTTGAGGAAATGGATGAATGTGGTGGCCTGCCATTCTTTCATTCCAGCGGGCAACAATTGTGTGTGAAGTTTCACCCATGTCTAAGAACTCTAATTTAGCTGAGACATTGTCTAAAACTACAGAGTGGAACTAAGATCTGTCAGGAGATTGGTGGGTTTTTTGTTTTTGTTTTTTGCTGACTTTCGATATGAAAAGGACCAAGTTTAAATCTCAGTGGCTGTAATCTTGATGGTTAGCAAGTCATCAGTTTAAAAGTCCTTATGTAACTCTAAATGTGACAATCCTTACCAGTGATGATAAATTTCTAGGAAGTTGGTTCAATGAAATGCTGTGCAAATCAGTGTATATGATTTTATTTTAATTTATCTGATAATATATCGTCCATATATCAGATAATCTATTTGTGAATTTAAAAATAAATGATCTAATTAATGTGATTAAAGGCATCAATGAGCAAAAAAGGAAATTGTCTACTAAGTTCAGATTTTGTAGAATTTAGATTGGGAGTGATTCTCAGAGGCTGCCTGGATAAGCCCCTGCTGTTTTCTTGGCAAGGTTTTTCAGAAATGATTGCCATTGCTTGTTCCCTAGGGCTGAGATACAGGGACTGGCCCCAGATCTCCAAGGTGGCTTTGTGCGTAAGGCCAGGACTAGAATTCAAGGTCTCCCAATTTCTAACCTAATGCCTTAAACCAGAGGTCCCCAACCTTTTGAGCACCAGGGGCTGGTTCCATGGAGAGAGGTTTTTTATGGTTTTTTTCATGTACTGCCTGCATCCTACTGTGAGGCTTTGCTTGTTTGCATGGACTGGTTTCTGACATGCCGTGGCCCGGTGCCAGTCCACGGACCAGGGGTTGGGGACCTCTGCCTTAAACACTAACCAAACTGGCTTTACTTTTACCCTTGGTGTTACTTCCTTATTGCAAAGGCATGCCAATTTATTGTCAAAGTGCAGCAGCATTTACTGAATAAATGCTGAGTATATACTGGTTGGAGGAATAATTACAGTGGTGCTTAAATGTTTGTAATTCCTTTTGAATTTTCAATGTTTTTTTCATAAATCCTAAAGCTAGATAACAAGAACCCAATTATATGAGACATAAACATTATACTTGCTGGTTTATTGATTGAGGGAAATGATCCAAAGCTACATATTTGTATGTGACCAAAGTATCTTTGAATAGATCACATTTTAGGTCATATTTGCGCACAAATATTGAAAATTCAAACAGGTCCACAAATCTTTAAGCACCATTGTATATAGCATAGGGATGAGCAGTCTTCCTCATTATTGATACCATTGCTATGGTGCCCATCCGAGCACATTCCGTTTTTTCTGCCATGATTCTTACCACCTTGATTCGTTTTTTCTTAATTCTTCCCACTCAAGTCAGTTCCTACTCATAAAATAGGAGATAATTTTTCTCCCTCTTTCCATCATTCCCAGTTCAGGTTCCCCTTTTATGTCATCTCCATCCCCTACAAATTTTCCCCTTTGCATCTTTTTTTCTGTTCTTATTAATCCAGCTGCCTTGGTCCTTACTACTTTATTAAAGTAGTATTTTATTAAAAGTTTTAAAATTTTTTTACAGTATATAACCCAAATCCCTCCCACCCTTCCCCCCTCCCCCACTTCCCAGAGCTGATTACAGGGTTACGAATAAGCCAGTGGTTCTCAACCTTTCTAATGCCGTGACCCCATAATACAGTTCCCCATGTTGTGGTGACCCCCAAGTGGGTGTGGCCACCAATAAGAGGGAGTAGGACAGCTAGGGAAAAGGGAAAAAAATGGCGGACAGCGTGGGTTGGCGACCCCCGTGAAATGGTCGTTCTACCCCAAATGGGGTCCCGACCCACAGGTTGAGAACCACTGGAATAAGCAATCATAATCTAACTAACATTACCCAACTCTACTAACAATCAAATCCATAACATACTTTAACTCCTTTTCAAAGTAAATATTAACAAATTAAAAACCAAAAATAATATAATTAAATAATAATACTAAAAATAATATAAATTCAATCATATTAAACTATTAAAAATAATCATTAGCTAAATAATACTTTTTAGTCTCATATTTATTCTGGATATAATCTATCCATCTTCTCCAAACCAAAATATATCTTTCTTGTGAATAATCCTTCAAATAAGCGGAAAATTTTTGCCATTTCTGCTAAATTAGACACCTTAAGTATCCATTCTTCCATAATAGGCACTGAATCTTTCTTCCAATATTGCCCCACCAGTAATCTTGCTGCTGTTATAACATTCAACATCAAATTAATTTCTTTAACATCAAAGTCTACAGTACCACCTAATAAAAATAATTGTGGCGTAAACTTTATCTTTCTCTTAAAAATCTTTTGAATGTTCCACCAAATCTTAATCCAAAAAGCTTTTATATTACTACTTTGGTATTTTATATAGGTAGAATTGCCTCTCTTTCTATCTCTTTCCAGTCCAGTTTCCCCTCTTATGAATATTTCTGTCCTTGCTGTCTCCTCCTCACCTCAGCTCTTTTCCGTCCCTTGCATTGCATTCATATTAATACATTGCACTATTTCTCACTTTTTTTAAAAAAAAAAAACCTTTTATGTTTAAATTGCAACATTTAAGTAAATGGATTTTCCGATTTTCTATATATTCACAATAAAGATAATAAAACTATCACTTTACATGGAAATATTTTCCTTATCAACGGATTACTTAGAACGAATGCTTTCAATTGTAGTTATGCTGTATACTCTCAGATGTTATTAAAACCAGTTTTCTTGCCTAAAATATTCTGAAGAAAATTGATTAAAAACAATAATGCTTTGCTTTCTAGGTTCTCTGGCATCTTGATATTTTTCGACGCAGTTTTCGACAACTTACAACACATAAATGCATGGGAGATTCCTGTATATTTTGTGCCCTCAAAGTAAGTGATAAAATGAATTCAGTGGGATGAATTCCTCCAACACACCTCCCTCCATTGATCTCCTGGGGAAGCTGGCAGAAAAGATTGCAAATGGTGATCGCATTATTGTGATTTGTAAATGCAAAATGCAGGTTGTAAATGCAAAATAGGTGGCCAAGTGCCTGAAATTCAACCGCATGACTATGGGGTGTGACTATTTACAACAGCCAAAGGTGCCTTACAGGCTACACTGCATCTGTTCCAATATTGTTGCAGTCATAAGTTGAAGAATACCTGCACATGGCTGGCCAACCTTTTCTTGAAAACTTCTGGTGATACTAGTTCATGAGACAGGGTGTTCCACAGTTCAACAGTTGTCACAATCGGGACACTCCCCCTTGTTTCAAGATTGGATCTTCTCTCATTAGTTCTTTATAGCAACCTGGACAAATGGCTAACTAGAAGGAGTTCTAGTTAGCCATTTGTCCAGGTTGCTATAAAGACTATATGACTGGAAGGTCCTGAACAAACCTTGGATTCCAAGTGTAATTTATGGGGAAATAAACTGGACTAAATGCAGCTTTGCTTTTATCCAGCAGTGCTCTTTCCCCTTGTAATCCTAAAAGCTGGAGATACTGTAAGTGCCTAGTACAGACTTTAGAGCAGTGGTTCTCAACCTTTTTAACGCCGCGACCCCCAACCGGTCGTAAGTCGAGGACTACTCAAGCGGTCGTAAGTCGAGGACTATTCAACTGGTGCAGCATCGTTTGCAGAATGGGACTTTTGGCGGGCTCAGCAGGGCAGAGACAGCCTGGACAATTCCTATTGGCTTTGGAAAGCCAATAGAATTAGACGCTATTCAAAAGAGTCTATTCTATTGGCTTTCAAAAGCTAATAGAATAAAAGGGAGTAGTACAGCCAAGGAAAAGGGGGGAAAAAATGGCGGACTGTATTGTTTGGCGACCACCGTGAAATGGTCGTTCGACCCCAAATGGGGTCCCGACCCACAGGTTGAGAACCACTGCTTTAGAGTATGTGATTAACTATATATTTTATTAGTAATATAAAGAATGATTTTGTTGAATGCTAAGAAAATACATTAATATATATCTTTCATACACTGTTGAAATAACTGTTTATTAAAAAGGAGGTTTTTGTTTAACTTTTAGAGTTTGCCGAGAAAATGAGTGAAAATGATTTCTTAGTCTTTCGAGTAGTTTATGGAAGCTGACAATTAAAGGCAGTTGTTAATTTAAGAGAGTTATTGTGTTACATTTTTGTAACTTGCTTTTGAATTATAAACAAAACCTGAGAATCCACAAGAGAAAAAAGACAGGGAACTATTTTCTCTTTCAATCCCCCACTCCCCGTATTAATCAATATATACAGTTGCAGTTCTTATATGTGAATGGGTTATCCATATTTTGAATATCTTATTCTTCCATATTAATCTTACATTCTGCGATGATTAACTCATTTTACTTATATGGATGTACCCACATGAGGCATCGGTATACAAAATGCTAGTTTCAGTCCAGGACCTGTCATACCTGTTTGTTATTTAAATAAAATATGCTTGCATTACAGCTATCATCTGAGTTATAACTTGGCCAATAAACACAATCGTGAATGGTTCCTCCTTTATTTAAGTCACTGCTCTCTTAATGACTTAGGAGCTCATAATAATTTTTTTTATCTGTTCCCAGGTTGACATATGTAGAGCATAGTCCAGGAGTAGGCAACCTTGGCTCTTTTATGACTTGTGGACTTCAACTCCCAGAATTCCTGAGCCAGCTATGCTGAGGGGAAAGAGAGAGGTTTCCAAGCTGAGCCGTGCTGGCTCAGGAATTCTGGGAGTTGAAGTCCACGAGTCATGAGGGGGCCATAGTTCCCCCATGCTGGCTCAGGAATTCTGGGAGTTGAAGTCCACGAGTCATAAAAGAGCCAAGGTTGCCTACCCCTGCCATAGTCCTTGCATTTTTTTAACCAGACTGATGAATGATTTTTTTTTATTGGGAGCTTGTTTATTTGTGCTTAGGGAACGGGTAAGAGAAAATTTGCCAGTGGAACAAAACAAGTCACAAAGAATTTGTTTGCTTTGAGGGACTGTGGTGCCAGGATGTAGGACAGGGGATGTTTTGTTGTGGCTAGAGAAGAATGAAGCCTTCATTTGTAGATTCTAACAGCGTCTCTGTCTTACAGGATTTTCATATGACAAAAGCTGAAAGAATTAATTTTGAAAGTGTGCTTGCTGAGAGGAAAGATGAAATTCTTAGTGTTTGGACTGACAAAGGTCAAAAAATACTGATTCGGTTCTGGTGAAAAAAATTGACATGTTCAATCTAAATTATGTATTTACATATACATCTATATTGCCAAGGTTCATAGCTGTTTTACAATGTAAGAACTAGAAAAGACATATTTTGTGATTTCTTCCCTCCTACACTCCATTTCTGATTAGCTTCAACCATTAAAAATACTAGCTACATACAGTCATTACATGCTTCAATCATTAAAAATATTAGCTACATTCAATCATTACATGTGTCAATCATCAAAAATACTAGCTACATGCAAAACGTGAATTGTATTTTCCACTTATGGAACATAATTGTATGAAATACTCCTTAGTAATTTGGGTTACTGAATTAATAAATTGGCTTCCCTTTGGCCCAAAGCCTCATAAATTCTTCTATTTCTTTCTGTTACTTAAATCCTAATAGCTGTCATCTATCAGTGTTGCTATCAGCAATCTGTGTTGATAAAATAAAGTTATTTTCTTGAGAAAAAAAGCCAAATAAAAGTACTACTGATATATATATAATTATGATAGTATTGTCTTGAATCTATACTTAAGACCTTTACAAAATAATATAAAGTACATGGGGGGAGGGGGCAGCAATGTCTATGGACAAGTCAAGAGAGATCAGATTAATAAAAGCAGTATTGTGGTAGGTAGGGTGATATTAGTCCCATCCCTTTTCTATATGTGTCATGATTGACAGATTGATTTAGATACTCATGAAAGCATCAAAGTCGGTCTGTTTCATAAAAATCTACACCAGGTATCTAACAATCTGAAAACAAGATGCTACATAAATTAGCATGAAATAAATTAGCCAATAGTTCCTGGCTGACAAACTCAGTTATTCATCCAAACAAATAAGGAATACATAAATCATAAAGACCTGCACAAATGCCTGCACAGAAGGTCTGAAGCTTCAAGTCAAGGCTGAATTAATAATGTGATTATATTGGAAGCTAGTGCATTAGAAGAGAAGTTTGAAAAAAAAAAGGGAATGTTGAAAACATTGTTTTAATTTAAGCAAGAATGGAAATGGAAGCGCAACCACAAGCTGGTATAGGAGTACAATCATTGAATAATCAGCTATAAACCAGTGGTTCTCAACCTGTGCATCGGGACCCCATTTGGGGTCAAACGACCATTTCACAGGGGTCGCCAAACAACGCAGTCCGCCATTTTTTCGCCCTTTTCCTTAGCTGTGCTACTCCCTTTTATTCTATTGGCTTTTGAAAGCCAATAGAATAGACTCTCCTGAATAGAGTCTAATTCTATTGGCTTTCAAAAGCCAATAGGAATTGTCCAGGCTGTCTCTGCCCTGCTGAGCCCGCCAAAAGTCCCATTCTGCAAACTGTGCTGCACCAGTTGAGTAGTCCTTGACTTATGACTGGTTGGGGGTCACAGCATTAAAAAGGTTGAGAACCACTGCTATAAACTAAGGACTTTACACTTCAAGGAATCAAAAACCAGGGATCTGGCACACATTTGAATAGAAATTGCTTTTTAAAAAATTATTCTCTCATGGATGTCTTATTATGAGTGTATCAGCCATCAGGTCCCTGGCCAAAAAGTGGGAAAACAAAATGTGTTTGTCCCAAACAGCTGAAAAATGTAGGTGATTGCTTGGCCTTGGTGTGTCAAAAATTTGGAAAATACCAAAGTTGACAATGCTACTTGTGACATGCTCCCCCCCCCCGCAAATAACAGAAAAACAACTCTCCCCACCCCCAAGCAGTGGTAACAGCAGCAGTGAGGCAGGGCCTGAAGTGAGATCCAGCTCTACTACAGGCCTAACTTCATGGGTGCCATTCAAAAAGGCCACCTCACATGATTCAAGGTGCATGAGCCTTTGTGGAACAGTATGATTGTCCACCTGTCTCAGCACTCCCCAGGGTCTACCATGTCCTCCTTACCTTCAGGCTATGTTCTCTCTCTATTGACAGGCCCCTGTGGCCTACCTGAGATTGTCCCCAATTGCACAAGGCCTTTGTTCTTGAAGCAGCTTCAAAGAAGGTTCTTCGACAGGCTCTGTAGCCTCTAAAAATTGAAGCTTCTCAGCCCATCCTTCAATATCCAGGTGTTTCGTAGCAGTAACTGATTGCTGTGCTGTAGCCCCAAGTGTTGGGTGGTTCCACCTATAATAGGGCAAGGGAATGCCCTTGAGGAACAGGTGAAGAACTATCATCAAGACTATGATTAGGTAGAATAAATTTGAGTACAGGGTAGAACTGTAACTGTAGAACTAGATTAGAAAACATCTTAGATAAGACCTTTCCTGCTTCTCACAAAGATAAAGACATTCAGACTCGTAAGATTCTGTTACTATACCTTTACAACAAAATAATATTGATCTGCTTGATTTTGGTTTCCTAGTCTGGTCAATGTTGAATGGCTGACACCGGCAGATGGGTACGCTTCCATATTATTTCCTTGTGGGTACTATTTCCAGAAACTCAATTCAGCTGAAAAAAAAGTACTCCATTTAGCATAAAGAATTATTATTAGCATTGAAAGCTTCCTTTGAAACCAGTTGCCATCTGCTGGAGAGTAAAAAAAAATCCATAACTACCTACCAGAGCAGGGGTAGGCAACCTTGGCTCTTTTATGACTCGTGGACTTCAACTCCCAGAATGGCTGGCTCAGGAATTCTGGGAGTTGAAGTCCACGAGTCATAAAAGAGCCAAGGTTGCCTACCCCTGTATCAGAATCTTGAGATGTTTAGAAAACAAGAAATTGGATCGAAGACAAATTTGGCACTTGCTCTTCTTCTATTTTAATTATATACATTGCATGTAGCCATAAACAAACATGGCAATGCCCTCTTCAGGAAGCCAGAATTTAAATTTTCCAACACAGACTTTCTATCTGCCAGTTTGTTGCTTCCAGAAAAGTGTGTTGCTATCAACAATAGATCGACTTTAGGAATTACAGCAACACCAAGACCTCCATCAGAGGGAACTTTAGGCCACACCTGCTAATATTGAATATTCTTGCTTTGACACATCGGACATTGGACTGAAACATATTACAATTCCAAGGCCTTATTTTTCCCATAATAAATATTTCTTAATCCCATTTCATACTTTAACATACTTCAACATAATTATTTTGAAATATCACAGCTCGTATTAGATATTTTACTTTGTTCTCAGTTAATTCTTGTTGAACTTCCATCCTCATTTTTTTTAACCTCTTCATTTTCTCCTTATTTTAATCCAGCCAGCACACCAAATTTATTTATTCCTATTTCTTCCATAGGATTTTCCAAAATTAAACCAGGTTATCAGCAAATGTCCTTAATTTATGTACTCCCTTTTTCAACTTCACATTAGTTGTTTTCCCATTGTGTCCTATGTCCATGTTCAAAACTTCAAGGGCCACAATGGATAACGGTGGTGAAAGCAGGCATCTTTGTCTTGTTCCTTTCTTTATTTAGTGGGGTTTAGTCAATTCCCAGTTAATTATATTTGTGCCCATTTAAGTACTTATTCATTTTACCAATATAGTAATTTCTCCCAAATCCATATGGTCAAAGAAGTCAATTTAGTCATCACATCCGGTTTACCAGTCTTTCCATCTTTATATTAGTTTGTATTAGTTTTTATTTTTATTTTTTTAAAAATGTTTAAATTTGCAAATAATAGTAAATTGGGTGCAATGTGTAACACCCTAAAAGACAGAAATGCATTTCAAGGACTACTGACTGGTTAAAAAAGTAGAATGAATTATATATAGTAGCAAGTGTGGTCTGATTGCAAAAAAGACAAGTGCAAACTGAGGCACTTGAAGTATAGTTCCCAAATTATGAGAAGTCTAGTTCTTGTTGGCCTGTTCTGCATAACATAATTAAAGGATTAGAAAAAACTAGAATAAAGAAGGGCAATGGCGTTTTCATAGGATTAGAAACAGTATCCTGTGAAGGAATTAAAAGAATTGTATATATTTAGCCTTAATAAAACAGCTAAGTATTAGCGTAAGTATCTCAAGGGATCTTACATAGACAATAAATAGCTATTCTCCATCCTCCCAGAATAGCAAGAATAGACTGTGTTAACAATTTGGGAAGCATACTTATTTTTGGTTCTTTATCAGTATGGTAAAAATAATTTGAGCACTTTAACATTTCTGTGTTTTTGTCCATCTAGGGTATCTTTAACCAGTTCCAGTGCAGCAACGACAAAGTGTTACCTTCTGATGCTCTTCGTAGTGCTCTCGCAAAGACGTTTCAGGATGAGCAGCGTTTCCAGCTAGGCATTATGGATGATGCTGCAGAATGCTTTGTGAGTAGGAAAGTGGTGGAACATTGATGAATCCTGAAAAAGAATTTCTCATTTTGCTAAGTTAGTAAAATCTGTACTGTTTGGAGAAGCAATAAATAGTGAAGCTCCTCCCACCAAAAACCAAGCATGTTTTTTTTTACTTTATTCCTTGTTCTCTTTTTCTTTTTTCTTTTTCCCTTGGTTGCTTTACTTTCATTTTGTTTAATCGTCTTTTTTACTTCTTTGTGGGGATTTGGTTGTGAGCTACCTACAGTAGCCCCATAGCGAGATAGGCAGCAAGCGACAAAATAATAATAATAATAATACCCATATAACACTCCAGATTTAACAGTTGTCGATAAGAAAGACAAAAAAGCCTGGATAGTGGATGTCGCAGTGCCTGGAGACAAGCAAAATAGAAGAGAAAGAACTGGAGAAGATAACAAAATGCCAAGATCTACAAATAGAAATAGAACAACTGTGGCATAGGCAAGCAAGGGTAATACTAATTATAATAGATACCTTAGGTCCAATCCCAAAACAACTATAGAACCACTTGGCATTGACAAATTCACCCATCAGTCAATTGCAAAAGGCGGCTCTACTAGAAACAGCTTCCATCCTTGAATATCTGTAACACCATCAAACATCCAGATCTGCCTATCCCAGGTCCTTGGTAAGAACTCAATAGGTAGACAAAAATGCCAAACCCAGTCTGTGAGGTTTGACTGTGTGATATTATTATTATTGATCATCGCACAGTCATCCAGAAGTTCAGACTGGATTTGGCATTTTTGTCTACCTATCGAGTCCTTCTCAAGGACCTTGGATAGGCAGATGTGGATGTTTGATTATTATTATTATTGTTGTTGTTATTAATAATCATCGCACAGTCAGCCAGATGTTCGGACTGGATTTGGCATTTTTGTCTACTTATCGACTAAATTAGTTGACAAGTGAAATGCTGTGGACATAATATACTTGGATTTCAGTAAGACAAAGTAGACCACAGCCTACTTCTTGATAAGCTAGAAAAGCATGGAATAGACAACATCACCACCTAATGGATTTGTAAGTGGCTGACAAACTGTACTCAACAAATAGTTCTTATGTTACTACATCTTCATGGAGGGAGGTAAGCACTGGGGTACCACAAGATTTCATCTTAGGCCCAGTATTCTTCAATATCTTCATCAATGAGGGAATAGAAGGGAAACTCATCAAATTTGCAGATGACACTAAACTAGCAAGGATACCCATCACTCCAGAAGACAAACTCAGGATCCAAAAAGATCTTGACAGACTTGAATAACGGGCTCTATCCAACAAATGAAATTTAATGTGGAGAAAGTAAGGTTTTACTGTTAGGCAGGTATAAGTACAGATTAGGTGAAACATGGCTCAAAAGAAGTAACTGTGAGAGAGACCTTGGAGTCCTAGTGGATAATCACTTAAATATGAGTTAGCAGTGTGCGGCAATGGCCAAAAAAGCTGATACAATCCTTGGTTGTGTAAACAGAGGCATAGAATCAAAATCACATGAAGTATTAGTACTGCTTTATAAAACTTTAATAAGACCATACCTGCATCCACTTTCGGTCACTACATTACAAAAAAGATGTTGAGACTTTGGAAAAAAGTACAGAGAAGAGCAACTAGGATGATTAAAGACCTGGAGATTAAAATATATGAAGAATAGTTGCAGGAATTGGGTATGGCTAGTCTAAAGAAAAGAAAGTGTAGGAGTGACATGATAGTATTCCGCTATTTGAGGGGCCTGCCACAAAGAAGAAGGGGTCAACCTATTTTCCAAAGCACCAGAAAGCAAGACCAGAAGCAATGGATGGAAACCAATCAAGGAGAGAAGCAACCTGGAATTAAGGAGAAAGTTCCTGACAGTGAGAACAATTAACTAGTGGAACAACTTGCTTCAGAAGTCGTGGGTGCCTCATTACTTGAGATTTTTAAGAAGAGACTGGACAGCCACTTGTCTCAAATTTTATAGGGTGTCCTGCTTGAGCAGGGAGTTGGGCTAGAAGACCTTTCAAGATCCCTTCCAGCTCTATTCTGATTTATTTGCTTATTTCTCATATTCTGATTATTTTATCACTTCGTATTTTGAGTCTGTACTTGCAGTACAGGTAATTCTTGACTTATGGCCATTCATTCAGTGACTGTTCAAGTTATGACAGCACTGAACAATTGGTAGTTATGACCAGTCCTCAGGATTCTGGCTGTCCAGCACTCATGTAGTCACATTATCACGATCTGGGTGCTTGACAACTGGCTCGCACTTACAACCCCACAATCACATGACCCCCATATGCAACCATCTGTGCCAGCTTCCCTTGAAAGTCAATGGGGAAGGCTTCAGGAAAGGTCACAAATAACTTCTCCACGCATAACCACATACACCAATGTACACCCTTCCCAATCTTCTCTGCATCTCCCTCACATTCTCACACATTTCTCTGAGCCTCATTGTGCCTCCCACACATACTCATGTACCCCCTTTTTCCCCTGCATACCCTCCCTGTGTCTTGCCACATCTCCCTCACGTACTTGTGCACTCCCTCACTCTCCTGGGCACCATCCCTGAACCTTGCTAGTGCTTTCTTGGACCCTCTCGCGCCTCTCGCCACTTGACAGCCACTAAACCTCCTGCTTGCTAGCCATTTGGGACTTGCAACTTGGTTGCAGGACTAACTGGTTGTGGGAAGCTAGTGGGATGTTGTCTTGGGATGTTTTGGGATTTGATTAACAGTGGCAAGAGGCACACAAAGAGCTTTTGCTCTTCGTTGGCTGCCTTTCTCTCTACCGGTAGACTCTTATGTGGGTCTTAAATCGCCCTGGAGGGGCGACCACTGTCGAAGAGGCTTTTGCTCGGCTGTGGTGGAGCAGCGGCTCCCCCTACAGTCCGAGCTAACTCCGTAGGGCCGATGGAGAAGAAGATCGGTCAGTAAAATGGGCGATCACTTCGCTGTGCCAGCTGAAGTCAGAAAATCATCTAAGCATAAAGAACCACCGTGGTGAATCCTGGTGAGACCTTTCCTCCCTCTCTCCGTCCTGAATTATTTTTCCTTCTACTTTGTTTTCTTTTTTCTTTTCTTTTTTTTGCCTAAGAGCCTTATTGGAGTTACTTCCCTGGCTGGGAAAAGCAGCTTCTACTTGTTTGGGAAGGAAGGCATTGAGACTACATCTTTTTTATACATGTTTTGGGGTACTGAAATTTTTTTTTTCTTAAGAGCTGTATTATCAGTTTATGCTGTTGTTGTTTTTTCTTGCTGAGCGCTATTACTATCTTATATTGGAAGACTATTTCTTCCTCCACTTTTTCCTCTAAAAATAGAAAGAAAGGGGGAAAAAATGACCCTTGAAAAAGATTTTTTAGTTTACTGAGGACATCTACTGGCCCAAAGCTAATATTGTTTTGACTATTGGGAGATGAGATGTTTAGCTTTCAAACTGGGTTTTTTTTTTTTTTTTTTTGAGAGAGAGAGAAAGATAACCTGATCCAGCTGAATAATTTTTAAAATGGAGCTGCATTCACACTTAAATAGTTCCGGAAAAGATTTGCGAGACTAAAGAAGAAATATGTGCTACAATGAAAGAGTTTACTTCAGAATTAAGAGCCAGAATCTCTCCTTCAAACTTTAAAATTGACTCTCAAACTACTTCTGATTATTCTATAAAACAGACTACACAAGAAGAGGACTTAACTGAGAATAAAGAGAAATTGACTTTGTTTGATAAGCAGTTCACCCATGGTTTTGAGGACCAGGAAAAGCAAAGACTGAGATTTGAAATGTCAAAGCAACGAAATTTTATGGTTAAGAGAAATAGTGGGCCAATGCAAAGGCCAAGATGGTTTACTTGGATTCAGATGATACTGCAAGCAATAAAGAGAGATTTATCAGTTGGAAGGGAAGCTCTGTTATGGAAACCTACCTGGCAGAAGAAGAAGCCCAGAATAAGATTGAAAAGAAGTGAAATTTAAAACTTTATGTAATGAACTAAAGGCAATTTAGAATTATGGACTGATTTAAGGACTAAGATTATGAGCGAGATGTAATAGAAATGGGCCATTAATGGAAGATATCTATTAAATTGATTAAGAATGTACTTTTTGAATTGATGGGTTTATCGATATGAAAATTATTATTTTTAATAAGATGATTTGTTTGTTTGATGTCCAATGGATTGAAATGATTTAAATATTATCTTTTCAGCTTAAAAAGTAAGAGAAAAGGGGTGATTAATGGAATATATATATATTAAATTGATTAAGAATGTGGTTTCTTTTTTTTTTTTTAGAATGATAGGTTTATTTGTAAGAAAATTATTATGTAATGTTGAGTTAACCTAATAAGATGATTTGTTTGTTTGATAACATGGATGTGATTAGTTATGAAAATTAACTGGATGAAATTTGAATTCTGTCAAATGGATTGAAATGATTTAAGGTTGGACTTTATTTTATCAGTTTAAAGAGATTAATTGATTGATGGATTAGATATGTATAGGATAGATTAATATTTTATTTTAAATAAGGGATATTAGTGGAAGAAGAAATAAATAAGATCTATGATAAAATTAAGGAATTAGAATATATTTGGAAGGGATACCCAAACTGATAATGTTTGTACTTAAAGTTATTTTGATTATGGTAGTGTAAATTTATAAAGCTTTAAAAACAGGTTTAGGTTGAATAAATTTAAGCTAGAATTGGATTATTTTAAATAAAATACGGTACTTAAGGGAAAAAGAGAGATAATATTTGATGTATTGATTGAATTATGTGTATATGTTTTGTTTGCGGATGTTTGACCACTCTAACACCACGGTATGTCTTGAGTACTTTGTTTTAAAAATCAAAAAGCCAATAAAACTTGTCTTAAAAAAAAACAGTGGCAAGAGGGACTGCAGATATTGTTTTTATACTCTATGACTGCATTGTTTAGTGAAGGAAAGTCCCGTCTCAATTGATAAGAGGACTATCTATATTAAAAGAAAATGTTGGTATTGTCTACATAAAATTAATTTCTAAAGTGTGATAAAACTGAAAAAGCCACAATATCTAAACAGACGAGTTTCCAAATTAGGGAACAAATGCTACAAAATAGGTTTTAAAAATGCTTTTCATAATTTCCTAGGAAGGCACTTTCTACTACTGTATTCCCTTGTAACAAATATTATGATTAATGTGCTCTTAAAAAGTCAAAACAAAGCCATTATTTTGTTTAACTTCAAGGCCCTTAATTGTACACTATTCCCCAGTCAGTAAAGCAACTTGAAGTCTTCAGCTATTGATCTATAATTTGACTATTTAGTTAAAACATTACCGTTATACTAAACCTAATGAAATGTTAAAGTTTGGCATGATGAATAATGAGTATTTGATTCTACTTTCATAGAAAGTTAATAAGTGTCATATACCCACCGTATGAGTTGGTGTCAAGAACTGTCACTCCTACTTCTTAAATGAATTTTAGAATGTTTAGAAGCAAATTTCATACAACTCTAAACAATAAATTTCAATTATTTTTATTATTAACTCTACTTTCGTTTTCCTGTTTTCCTGGATGTAGGAGAACCTCTTAATGAGGATTCATTTCCACATTGCAGATGAATCTAAAGAAGATATCTGCACTGCCCCACATTGCATTTCACACCAGAAATTTGCAATGACCTTGTTTGAACAGGTACAGCAAAACAACAATTCTAAGTTATATTAATCCTGAAATGAAGAAATAGACTTGGAAATGAGCAAAAATATTTTCTTCTGTTAATATCTAACCATTTATTTATCTGATTTAGTGTGTCTGTACCAGTTGTGGTGCTACTTCTGACCCGTTGCCCTTCATCCAGATGGTCCATTATATCTCAACTACTTCACTCTGGTGAGTCTCAGGCTTTTTGCAAAAAAAAAAAAAGAAAAAATTCCTTGGTTTAATTGTTCCCCATTTTTCTACTTGAATGAGATAGATTGATATTTTGGTATGTACAGGATCCCTACTGAGCTTCTTTTGCCACCCATTATGCAGCTGTGGGCTATGCCCTTTCTTACCTGACTTTTCTCTAGATTAGGGGTCCACAATCCTTGGGCTGCAGCCCAGTACCAGGCCACAACTCGTTCAGAACCTGGGCGTGCAAGTAGCAGGTGAGCTCATGCAGCTCCATTTGTATGAGCGGCGGACACATGTGCATGTCAGTTGCGCAAATGGAGCTTTCTGCACAAATGTGCAGGCCCACTGCTTGCATAGAACCATCCCCTCTCCACCACCACCACCACCACCCCCGCTGCCAATGTTGCTGGGCTGCAAAGTCAGAAAGGTTGGGGACCACTGCTCTAGATAGCATCTTTTCACCCCATCTTCCAAGGACTTTCTCACAGATATTCAAGAAAGTCAACACTAATTTGAAGTTATAAAAAATTAAAGGAATTTATACATAATTTCAAAGAAAATACTGATCAAATTAGTAAGTAATTTCCTCCCTATTTCTTTTTTTTATAATATTTTATTCATTTTCCAATTTTACATTTAAGTATTTAAAAAGCAACTTGGTGGCTGGGTTAATCAATAATTCGATAACAAAATCTTTAGTACAAATCTCAAGTTACAACATGAAATATTTCCTCTCTTTTTCCCTTAACATTTACTGTCTCGTATTTAAGCTAATACAGTTCTTATTATATCAACACAGTAAAAACATCATTATTACATTTATCAATAATTTTTCAGCTTATACATACTTTAATTATTTTTTACATTCAATCTTTATAAACAATCCATATCCTGTTATTAATTTTTTTCCAATTTTTAGTTTCCCATCAATATTCCAATTTAACCTTTGATATTTATAATTTTCAGGCTTTAGGTAACCAAGATTTCCCTTATCTCAATTCATCATTTTTAAATATTAAACAGATAAAATCCTTATTTTCAACTAATTCCAAATATTTTAAATCTAATGACCAGAATTCCCCTTATCTCAACTTTTCCCTTTAACGCAGTGGTTCTCAACCTGTGGGTCGGGACCCCATTTGGGGTCGAGTGACCATTTCACGGGGGTCGCCAAACCACGCTGTCCGCCATTTTTTTCCCTTTTCCCTAGTTGTCCTATTCCCTCTTATTGGTGGCCACACCCACTTGGACACACCCCTGGGGGTCACCACAACATGGGGAACTGTATTATGGGGTCACGGCATTAGAAAGGTTGAGAACCACTGCTTTAACGGTCTAATTAATAATATAAAATCTCTTTTAGGAAATAACAAGTTGTAATACCAAACTTTGCCACAAGATGTCACCGATGCCGTTTAAGATTTTTTAAGTCCAAGATTTTTATAATCCATTTTCCAATTTTATTTCTTTTTTGTAGATAAAAGCAAAAATCTCCAATAAAAATAGGAAAAATTTGGGTCCCCAAGTTTCAGGAACATATAAATCCAATTAGATTAAAGTTCTTCTTTTAATGCTTTAATTCCCCTGAGTAGTCAGTCACTGCTATTCTTAGAGGGTGGGATAGAAATTCCCTTCCCTCTCTTCTCACAGGGGGAAAGATACTTCAGGCAGCTTTTACAGGAAAAGAAAGTGCTTAGGGTAAAGAGAAGATCGGATTTCACCCAGTTTCATCTGCATTGCTTTCGAAGTGCTTGGTGGTAAGTTTGACTTGGGCTGTCTGCAGCCTAGTGATGGGCCTATTACTATGGCCAGTCTTTCCTCCGCCGGTTTGGAAGGCTGCCCCAGATTGAGCAGAAGGGCTGCCACCCTCCCACGATCAACCGATGGTCCCCTCCTTGCTCACTGCCCCTACAGGGCGACTTTCAACCCTTTCCAGGGTCCCCCAGCGGAGTGAAACCGAACGTGGAAGACGGAGCTTGCCTTCCAGCGGCCACGGCGGCTGCGATGGCAAACCGGAAGCCATTTCCTCCCTATTTCTGTTACTGTTTTTTTAACATTATAAATTCTATGGAAAAAATAGTTTGTCATTTTCCTTAATTTTATAAAACTCACTATTCTTTCTTAACACTAACTTTATCCAACTTGGGGAAAAAAAACAAAGGCTGTGCATTTATTGTAGATATAAAGCATCACAAATTTCAGCTCAGAAATGAATAGCCAACAGAGCGACTAAGACAGTGGCCCCCAACCTTTTGCGCACCAGACACTGGTTTCGTGGTAGAGGTTTTTCCACAGACCGGAGTGGCCATGGTTTCGTGTGCTGCTCTCATCCCATGGATGGAGCTTTGCTTGTTTGCGTGGCCTGGTTGCTGGCATGCCGCCGATCTATGCCGATCCATGGACCAGGGTTGGGGACCCCTGGCCTAGCAGATGGGTCAGGAATTAAAGTTCAATTTGCACCCCATCAGAAATCTTGCTTGAGTGAGGCATATATTTTATTCAGGTGCACATTTGCTGAGCCTATAAACTGAAAAGCTGTTCTTTCGTGACAGATCTCAAGAAGCAGTAAGAGGTTTAAATATTGTTTATAAAGAAATATGTTTTTATTCCTGTTTTACACTTTTTGAACACTTCAAGCAATCAGGCCATTTGCATGCTGGAGAGACGAGACAAACCGACACCTGATATGTTTGGAGAGCTGCTACAAAATGCCAGCACAATGGGAGATATGAGAAACTGTCCGGTTTGTATATATAATTTTTATTTAGTAGAAGAAGTAGCCCTGATTGGGGATGGGGGAGTATGCACTGAAAGCTGCTTTTGAATAGAGAGGTTTTCAGTATGTGATTTGTCAGTATAGGTCAGGGGTAGGCAACCTTGGCTCTTTTATGACTCGTGGACTTCAACTCCCAGAATTCCTGAGCCAGCCACGTTGAGGGAAAAGGGAGAGTTTCCAAGCTGAGCCATGCTGGCTCAGGAATTCTGGGAGTTGAAGTCCATGTCATAAAAGAGCCAAGGTTGCCTACCCCTGGTATAGGTAGTCCTTGACTTAGAACAGTGTTTCCCAAACTTGACAATTTTAAGGCATGACGACTTCAACTCCCAGAATTCCACAGCCAGCAACGCTGGCTGTGGAATTCTGGGAGTTGAAGTCCATATGCCTTAAAATTGTCAAGTTTGGGAAACACTGACTTAGAACCACAATTGGAACAGTAGGCAGTTCAATAGAGCTAGAAACCAATCAGAACCAAGCTAAGGTGGCTAAAACCAAGTGATATTTATAAAATGACTACAAATATTTTGTTTCTAGAGTAAATGACATAATGAAAACATACATTCTGATTAACTAAAACCTAGCTTAACTCTAATATGTACGTGTTCTCAAAAAATCTTTATTTCAAAATTAGCAATTTCCTTACCATCATTTCTCTTTTAAACATTTTAATGAGGAGTCCTTGGTGTTCTCTAAGCTTGGTTGTTTTCTTGTAGACATTTCATTACTACGAGGGCAATTCAGAAGTAAACCTCCGTTTGGTCATCAATGACAGACACTTGCAGATATAGAATAGAATAGAATAGAATCTGGAAGGGATCTTGGAGGTCTTCTAGTCCAGCCCCCTGCTCGAGCAGGAGAACCTATACTGTCTCAGACAGGTTATTGTTTAATATTTTCTTAAAAACTTCCAGTGATGGAGCGCCCACGATTTCTGGAGGCAAGCTGTTCCACTGGTTAATTGTCCTCACTGTTAGGAAGTTTCTCCTTAATTCCAGGTTGCTTCTCTCTTTGATCAGTTTCCAACCATTGTTTCTTGTCCTGCCCTCTGGTGCTTGGTGAATAACGTGACCCCCTCTTCTGTGTGGCGTCCCCTCAAACACTGAAATACTGCTATCATGTCTCCCCTATTTCTTCTTTTCTGTAGACTGGTCAGACCCAAGTCCCGCAGCTGTTCTTCATATGTTTTAGTCTCCATCTTAGTTGCTCTTCTCTGATTTTTTTTCCAAACTCTCAACATCTTTTTTGTGATATGACTTTTTATTAAGCACATTAGAAAACTACAACATTATGTTATGATCTTATGACCTTATGACAAATGCATCAATTTGAATGGCAATTATGTTATAAAGTAATGCAGTGTTGTAGTTTTCTAATGTGTATAATAAAAGTTCTGTATCTGCAAGTATATGTCATTGATAACCAAATGGAGGTTTAGTTCCGAATTGCCCTCGCAGCTAGCACTGATGATGTTACCTAGTTTGGATAATGAAACATCTACAAAAAAACAACCATGCTCGGAGAATACCAAGGACCCTTCATTTCAGCCTTGAGCTACAAATATTCTCCTTTGTTGGAAACAGTTTAATACATGCACAATATTCCTTTTAACATTTAGGAATATTTGAAGAACTTAATATATTTTATTTATTGTATTTGTTAAATTGATTTGATGAAAGTCATAGTTGACTTGGAATAAAATAAAGAACCCCGGTAGTCTTTCATCTCCCATCACCCAGTTAAACAAAGATTGCTGACTGCAGTGTTACAGATAAAGCGACAGGGTGGATTTATATTTAGGAAATGAGATGTGATTCCTGCCTTAGTTCTTACTAAAAGAAAAGGATTTTCTTATTCATTTGATTCTCAGTCCCTGTGCGTCACCACAATATAAATCTATTTTGCTGTGGAGAGGGTTACTCCTGTTTATACTCTAAGTCAGTGATGGAGAACTTTTTAGAGACTGAGTGCCCAAGCTGCAACCCAAAACCCACTTATCATCGTTGGGTGCCGGGTGGGTATGGCCCATTGGGTGGGCGTGGCTATGGTGATTACAGCAGACTGGGTGGGACTAAAAAGTTCAATCAATCAATTCCAACTTTGCAAGATCTTTTTTTTTCCCACGAGAAATTGAAATTGACTGATTGATTGAACCTTTTTTTTTTTTTTTGCACATGGTGGCGGAGGCCTAAAGCAAAAAGGTTTTATAAAACCCATCTGAAGGCCTAGGACTGGGGCGACGGCGTGCGTGCCCACAGAGAGGGCTCTGAGTGCTGCCTCTGGCACCCGTGCCATAGGTTCGCCACCAATGCTCTAGGTGGTACACTCCTATTTCTTTCCACGATACAAATCAGTTGCATTTTTAAAAGTTTTGGTCTGAAAGCAAGATATGTCATTGTATCAGGAGTTGAAGGCATATAACACTAAATAAAAAGGGAATGTTTAAAATCATCAGGAATTAAATACATTGGGTTTCTTTTCAGAGCAATTGTGGAGAAAGAATTCGGATACGCCGAGTATTGATGAACTCTCCACAGATCATCACCATCGGGCTGGTCTGGGACTCGGATCACTCGGATTTGGCAGAGGATGTAATTCATACCCTGGGCACTTGCCTTAAACTGGGTGATGTGAGTCTTAAATCTTATGGCAATATGTACATTTTTGTTTGACTCTGCTACTGTCCTTCATCTATATGTGCACATGCATGTTTGTGTGGTCTGCCTTTATTTCAAACATTTTTCCTTCAGCTTAAATAGTTACTTTTCAGTAAGTAAATTTAAGTTTTAGAGAAATTCAAGAATTGTACTGAGATTATTCTTCCCTCCCTGAAGTTGTTCTTCAGAGTAACTGACGACAGAGCAAAACAATGTGAATTATATTTGGTTGGAATGATCTGCTACTATGGAAAACATTACTCCACCTTTTTCTTTCAAACAAAGATTCGTATGTGGATGTATTTTGATGATGCCCATGTTAAAGAGGTAAGAAATTTAGAGGGAAAAAGAATAAAATGTTTGGATCATTACAGTGTAAATCTATCTGGATTGTTTTTAGATAAGTTGATAAACCTCCAATTATTTACAAGCAGTTTATAATGAAACATTCCAGATAGGTTGCATCCACTGTTTCTAAAATATAAAAATGACACATTATTTAAGAGAGCAGGGCAGGATATATGTTGTCTGCCATGTTTCATTATGTCATGAATTGTTAAGAAAAGATCTAACAAAATAACATAGGATTCAGTACAATGCAATGATGGTAAGACGGAAACTTTTCAACTCTTCTTGGGAGAAGTAAATAACATAGATCAGGTGTGTCTAGCCCTTGGATTGCATGTGGCTCTGGACAGGTCCTAATGCGACCCCACAAGATCATAAACTTTTTAACATTATTATGTTGTTCACATACATTAACTATTTTATATATTTTATATGTGGCCCAAGACAATTCTTCACTCAGTGCAGCCCAGGAAAATGAAAACGTTTTGGACACCCGTGTCATAAATAAGTAGTCTTTTATTTGTTCTTCACTTATTTTAACCTGGATGCTTTCTATAGCAAGTCTATAGAAAGTCTAATTTCTTTTAAATGTCTTTTTTAATCTTTATAACTTTAGAGAGGAATAGGTTGATTTGTTGAGGATCAGGGTCTTTTATCATAACCTTGAAAAACTTCATTTCTTTTTTTGCTAGTTCTATAAATTCTTTCTTTTAATATAGATTGGTTCAAAGTCCATCTTGATTTCTTTTTTGTATTCCTCTCCATATCACTTTTAAAGGGTTATGGTCTGCCCATGTACCTGGTTCTATCTCAATTTTCTGCATATTTATCCTGAGTTCAGATGTCATCCAGAAGCCCCGGCTTCTTCCACCCGTCTCGTCAAATGCCAAACCGGAAGTCCTTTAGTCTCCAGGCCTTTGATCATCTTAGTTGCTCTTCTCTGAATTTTTTCCAAACTCTCAACATCTTTTTTATGATATGGTGACTAAAATTGGCTTCAGTATTCTAGGTGTGGTCTTACTAGGGTTTTATAGTAAGTTAAATAAGGATTGCTGACTACAGTGTTACAGATAAAGTGACAGGATGGATTTATATTTAGGAAATGAGATGTGATTTCTGCCTTAGTTGTTACTAAGAGAAAAGGATTTTCTTATTCATTTGATTTTCAGCCCCTATCTGTCACCAGAATAAAAATGATTAGTTAGTTAATTTAGGGGTCATTGAATCATAGTACTTGTTCACTTAATTTTAGTACTAGCTTATAGCTCTTTCAGGGAGAATCCTGTAATTTATTTTATTCTGTATGATTTATCTTTATCTTTGCCTTCTATTTCCCATAATGTTTTTATCCATCACATGTGCAGTGTAGATGAGTTTCTGCTTACTGAATAGCACCTCAATGGAGCAATCACTCTTTATTTGTTACAATACACAAATTTAATGCTTTTTTTCTGAAATCCAAAGGTCACCTAGTGATCATCTCCAGATCCATAATTCAAAAGTGTTTATCATTCTTCTCCCATTTTTTTCAAGAGCCAGGTTTCATAGCCATGTATTTCCACTGGAAAGAAAATCATATTAACAATTTTGATATTTGTTATAATAGATACATTCTTTCTCTTTGTGATCTTGTTAAATCTGCATTGTCTTCCTCCATAGGAGTAATCGCAACTATATTTTGTCCATCTTTATCTATTCAAGAGCACAAGAAAACAAAACTATCTACTCCCTTCCATTCTTTATTGTTATGTGAATTGTCCATAAACAATGCTGGTTGAACAAAGCTTTTATCGGTATAACATTTAACATTAACCCAGAATTTTTACTTTCATTTTTAATTTCATTATGACTACGGGGTGATGTTAATAATGTGTCTTCAAAAACACATAAAGTGAATAAATGTATCTTTGGTTTCTTGTAGATATTTCAGAGAATTACAATCACTTCCACATAAGTTGTCCAGTACTCACATTGTTTAGAAACAATTTCTTTCCAAAATATTTGCATGTTTCTTATTTGTTGAAAATGATACAGCTCAATTCTGATCTATTCTTTCAATCTCTTATCAACTTTATGTTGGTAACAGGAAAATCCCACCTTGAGGAAGATGGATGCTTGAAATTTACATTACATTACATTTACATGAAATGTAAATAAATAAAGACAAAAAATACATTGGAAAAGGCAACAAATTGAAAAAAACTACAGAGCTTTCAATAGATAACTAGATTCGGAAGTTACGAAAAATAAAAATTTACAAACTGAGCTATGCTAAGAGGTTGAATACACACACACACACACACACATACATACACACACATTCATCATATACTTTTGCTCTACAAACCACAAAAGGATCAAATTAATTGCTGCTACTTTTTTTTCAGACAGTGATCCTGGAAATGGAGTCTCTCTATAAATGCTTGCTGTGGATGCTATGTTTTGTTTTGTAGTATGTTTTATTGTTTTAAGTTCTTAATAGAATAATCTTGAAGAGCTTTTTGAAAATAAAAGAGTTTTTTGTCTTAAAGTGGCACTGGCCTTTAATGTAATTATTTTGTTTGTATGTAGTTAATATGTTATTTACAGTATAACAATTGTTTCCCATTGTCAGTTGGATTCTTGGTCATCTTTTTGTCAAGACCAATGTCTTTGTTGTACTTAATTGTATCAAAAATGATCCCCCCCATTACTTTTTTTTTTAATATTTTCAGATAGGCCCTAAATGGAAAGATGTTGTTACTAAGTGCATTAAAGGTCATTACCAACCCTTGCTACTCCTTTATGCAGACCCAAGAGGAACTCCAGTATCAACCCAGACTCTATCCACACAGGATTTACCACAGTATAGCAGAACCTATTATGATAGTGAAGATTCAGGTAACCTTTTGAAGTTCTTCATATATTTTTCCTAGCAATGAAGATATATGATATGTATATTTATGGCACTGGCAATCGGTAAAGCCTTGTGAGTTATCAGGTATCAGCCAAATGGTACAGAAACGGAATTTAGCTCTTTGCCTACCTGAAGGATAGCCAATCATGCAAAAATAAATTTCATACATTGCACAAAAATTCACAATTCTGAATACCGTATGTATTTTTGTATGTATGCTACAGTGGAAAGCAATTATTAGAGATTTATGTTCATATTAGTAAAGTTGGAAGGGACCTTGGAGGTCATCTAGTCCAACCCCCTGCTCGGGCAGGAAACCCTACACCATTTCGGACAAGTGGCTGTCCAGTCTCTTCTTAAAAACTTCCAGTGTTGGAGCATTTACTGCTTCTGGAGGCAAGCTGTTCCACTGATTAATTGTTCTCACTGTCAGGAAGTTTCTCCTTAGTTCCACAGTGTTAAATTTAAATTCTTGAAAAATGTAGTGGTATTGGAATGTAAGCCTGATTTTTAAAAAAAACTTCCATATAAGAAATACTTAGGAATGTATTAACATTTATTAATAGTAAAAATTAGAAAATGTAATCCAAAGTGAATTATTCAGAGAACGTGCAAAGCTCCACTAGTGCAAGTATTTGAGCAGAGGGTTCTTGTGCTCGTGCATGAAGCTCCACTTGCATGAGTAAAGGGCGCTCGCACATGAAGCTCCATTCACAGAATTGGAGCTCTATGCGTAAGCACTCTTCACTCACACAATGGCCTCTGTTCATGTGAGGGGAGCTTCATGTACAAGATAAGATAAGATAACCTTTATTGTCATTTTTTTTTTACTGTGGGCACAACGACACACATCAAAAATGAAATTTAGTTGCCCGCTCTCAAAGTGAAACACACACATCACACACACCTAAACATACTATGTACAATATATGAATAGACCCACACCCCTACATATACATAACAAATAAATATTAAAATACTGTCCATCTTGAATATACAAGCGCAAGTGCCCACCACTTGCATGCAAAGCTCCATTCACACAAGTGGAGGGTGCCCACCTGCTGCTCACACCAATAGAGCTGTGCACATGTGCATGCACCTGCCACTCACATCTCCCCCCCCCCCGTGCATCAGGCCACCAAGGTGGAAAGGTTGGGGTCCTCTGGGCCAGATAACACCCCTGGAGAGTCTGATTTTTTTTTTTTTTACAGCAAATGTTTCTCTTATGTGCTTGTATATCCATTTTTGCATTCTGGTTCGATGTTATATGATGAAGGCTATTGAATTGCCTGCTAAATATCTGCTATCCTTATCTGTAATGTCTGGAGATGCAAGTCTTCTTCACTTCAGTCCTCCCTTCAAGCTTTGGTCTCTAAGAGAAAGAGTGAAGTCTCAGGGCAAATGCTGATTGTATGGATTTCTTATTTCTTCTGGTGGTCAGAATTGCTGGAAGTGACACAGTATTGCTGGAGAGGAAAGAAATATCTTATAGTTTGGCCCTTTTTCTCAACGTTACTTTCAAATCGGTGACAAAGAAAATCTATGAGGTGGTTGAATGGATACCTACAGAAGGATGATGGAGATAGATGGCAAGATGTACACGCACAGATGCAGTCTTTTAGTGCTCATTGAGCAACCTTTATCGTTTAGGAGTGAAGAAGTGTATTTACCCTAATTATGCTCATATTTTTTCTCATTTTCTCAATTCCAATGTTCACTATTTTTTAATAGGACGTGAACCTTCTATCTCAAGTGACACTAGAACAGATTCTTCTACAGACAGTTATCTGCATAAACATTCCCACCATGAATCTATGGTCAGCCACTTTTCTTCTGATTCTCAAGGAACTATCATTTATAATGTGGACAATGATGTGGTTTCGCAGAGCAGCAGGGACACAGGTAATCTTTTTCTTTTAAATTTAGGATGAAAATCATAGAATTCGTGAGAATAAATTCACTGGGATGTTGGCAAAAACAAGTACTCAGAACATATTCTTTAACATTCATTGGTAGATATTGGAGTGCTGTTTCAGTGATCCTTACTATTGGCCACAATGACTAAGGTTAATGGAAATTAAAGTTCAGAAATATTGGGAACTTCACATGTTGGTTTCAATCTGTTAGTTGAAAAAAAGAGAAAACACTGTTTCCATTGTTCTTTCAGTAAGAATTCTCTTCTCTTACAGTGTTCATGTATCACTGAAATATATTTTATTTTTTTCTTTTCAATCATCATACTTAAATTAGTGTGACAGAAAGAGGCAAACAAGGCGCAAAAGATTAAAGTGATATAGAAACTGACCCCAACTTGTTTCTGTTTGTGTTATTTCTTTGTGAGGATTTCTATTCTTGGTCAAGTCCCCTTGATAAATGAAAATATTTTTTTAAAAAAAATATAGCCCCCAATAGCAACAAGGCTACATGTTTTAAGAGAATGAGAAATAATAGGTTTTTTGGGGGGAGGAGGTTATGATAGTTCTATTTATTATAGAACTATCATAACCTCCCCCCCAAAAAACTATTATTTCTGATTCTCTTAAAACAGGTAGTGTAAGGACCCACCTCAGCTAACCACCCAAGAAAGCAGAACTCTTGAAACAGGCATTGTCTCAAAAGGAAACTTTTATTAGCGGTTAGTGACAGTAGGGAAGTCAAGGCGAGATCTGGGGAAAATCCCACTTGAATGGTATTGTAAGGAACCACTTCAATCCACATCTTAAGAAAGCAGAACTCTTGGAAACGATCTCTTCCAACAGGAACCTTTATTGAGAGAAATTGATAGCAGGCATGATAGACGGGATCTGAGGGATTCCCTTACAAATCGATGTTTTAAAGTGTCCCTAAGCAACCCCCACCCCACAGTTCTTCCGGGCGATTCAGACCGGTCTGTAGTGTATCGTTCTGAATGAAAGCAATGTCCTGCTTTCAATTCCTTGTAGGTTTTCTGTAGAATTTCTAGAAATCAATATTAGTTTGATTTAAAAAAAAACTTTATTCTATGTATAAGATAAAGCGAGGACTGATTTTTAAAAACTCATCTTCAAACATTGATGGATAGTTTTTTATATCTGAAGTCTGCGAGAATGAGCAAAGCTTTTTTTTTAAAAAAAAATGCTGAACTATAATTTGTAATGTGTTTTACATCTTTCAGGCCACCTGACCGATAGTGAGTGCAGTCAGAGACATACTTCCAAAAAGAATTCTCTGACAGACCGTAAGAGAAATAACAACAGGTCTAGAAAGAAAGGGGATGAAGCACAGCCATCTGGATATCATAGTGAAGGTAAAAATGAGCCTTTCATTTGCGTTTGTCAAAGTTGGGACTGGATTGCTTTTTGGACTGTATCATGAAAATCGTCTACTGAGGGTATTTTACGTTGTTTACATCAGGGCTTTTCACCCTTTTCACCCATCGTACCACTTTTAGTGTATGGCAACATCCGAGTACCACCAGTCACCCAGCAAGGTGTCAAAAACTTGATGACCCAAAAAAAGGAAAAAAGTGATAAAGTACAGGTAGTCCTCGACTTACAACAGTTTGCTTAGTGACTGTTTGAAGTTACAATGGCACTGAAAAGAGTGCCCCCCAAGTCACAGCTGAGCAAGATGCCTGCCCACCCGGCGGCGCTCTTCCTCCTGTCCGAGGTTTTCATTTTTGTGAGCATTTCTGTTGAGGATTGGCAGCGGGGGTGGGGTGGGGGGTGTTTGGTTTTTATTTCCCCCCCATCTGCTGGGTGGTTGCAGCAGGTTTTGGTCACTTCACATGACCCTGGGACACTGACCGTCATAAATATGAATCAGTTGCCAAGCATCTCAAAGTAAAACACAAGACCCTGGGGATGCTGCAACATTCCAGCTGATCGGCGCTTCTTCTGGGCTCAGCAGAAGCACCAGGATCAGCGCTGAGCTCCAGCTGGAGCCTGGCGCTGATCCTGGTGCTTCCGCTCAGCCCTGACAGCCCTGCAGCTCCAGCCATCTCTCATTCAGGCTTGTGCGGTGCTGCCACCGGTTCAGCTCATTCCCCTCCCCTGCTACCACTTTTCTAGGTTGCTCGCGTACCACCTGCCAGGTGCCAATGTACCACAGGTGGTACCCGTACCACTGGTTGAAAAGCCCTGGTTTACATACTGTTCTTCTGCTCTTAAAACATAGGAGAGACACTGAAGGAGAAACAGGTCCCCAGAACTGCCTCTAAAATGTTGAGTGGTACTAGCAAACTAAGGGAATTTAAAGAGACGGTGAGCAACATGATCCACAGCAGGACTTCACAGACACACCAGGGCTCCCCTCATGGGAAGAACCAGACCGAAATCCAGTCGCTACCCAGAACTTTGGCCATTCAGACTCAAGACTGGGAAATAGAGAGCAACAGCAGCGAATCAAAGTCAAGTTCTTCCAGCAAGTACCGCCCACCTTGGAGACCCAAGCGAGAGTCGTTAAATATAGACAGCATCTTCAGTAAAGAAAAGAGGAAACAAAGTGGCTACACCCAACTCAGTCCCTTTGCAGAAGATGCAGGTAAAAATGAGCAAGATACGTAATGCAGAATGGAATGGAATATATACTCTTGTTTATTGGAGTCATTTGATACGATCCGAACAATTTTTTGTTCCATGCATCAGTAAACAGAAAAAAAATATGTGGTGTCGAATGATATTTAATGGTTAACACCAAATATCCAGTTGGGTTTTGGTGCTCCAACTTTTTGAAAAAAAAATAAATAGTAAAATAAAATAACATGGACGAGAAGTATGTGTTAAAATGATCCCAAAGGTTCTACATCTGTTTTCTTTGTGGTATTTTTTTTGTAAATTTTTCCTTAAGTATGCAAAAAAAAGAAAGAAAAGAAAACCATTTCTTACTTTTATTGACTGCATTTGATGTGAGATGATGTGAGATGAGCCGAGGTGGCGCAGCAGTTAGAGTGCAGTACTGCAGGCCACTTTAGCTGACTGTGTTCAGCAGGTCAGCGGTTCAAATCTCACCGGCTCAAGCAGGTCAGCGGTTCAAATCTCACCGACTCAAGGTTGACTCAGCCTTCCATCCTTCCGGGGTAGGTAAAATGAGGACCCAGATTGTTTGGGGCAATGTAAATATATATATATATACATTGCTTACTGGTGTACACCGCTTAGAGAGTGCTTGCACTTAAAGCGGTATATAAGTCTCATAAATAAATAAATAAATTGACTATAATCGGCAAACTGGAAGGGCCAGTTTAGCCATCAGGTTGACTACTCAATGCATATAGCCATATTAAAATATCCCAAACAGATGATAGTTTAGCCTGAGTAATAGCCAGTGAAATAGAGTCTACCACACTAGGTAATCGGTTCCAACAAATCACAGAATGTGTGTTTCTTCTGCAAAAATAGTGAAATTGGCTAAACCTACAAGCATTAAAATGTATTAATTTAAAGAAAAAAGAACTACCTGTGCAAAGAATGTTAATTAAGTTTTAAGTTGACCTCTGCAAAAGGGAGGTATCTAGATTAAGTTTGGATAAATGTCGGTCTAGCAGTATGTCAATAAGATAAAAAAGATAAGGGAGATTTGAGAAGTTTTAGAAAGCTTTGGAAGCCAATTTGAATAGATTTTTGCAGGGATGAGAAACAGTGGATATATAGCATCAGAAAAGATTTAAATCTGTCTTTTGGTTCAGCATTTTTTTAGATGTGCAAAAACTTAGTACCGTATATGCCGGCGTATAAGACGACTTCCGGAAGCGCTAAACTCGGCGCCAAAGACGGGGGTCGTCTTATACGCCGAGTCGTCTTATATGCCGGAAATACTGGTAGTTTCCGGCGTATAAGACGACGTTCTAGAAATGCGGCTCGGCGATAAAGACGGGGGTCGTCTTATACGCCAGGTCGCCTAATATGCCGGCATGTACGGTAACTGTACTCACATTATCACACCAAATTAAATATAAGTAAGCTACATTAGAGCCTAATATTATTGTGAATCTAGTTATGGATTTAAGATGGAATACTATAGAGCAGAACGGTACCAGGTTTTGGGGGCAAACCTTTGTTTGTTTATTCAATTATTTTATAGCCTTCCTTTTTTTTCGCAAACGCAAGGTGTGCATGTAGAACTCTCTCCTGCAATTTAACTCAAAACATCAGCCTTGGGAGGTAAATTGGCTGACTAGAAGTGAAGGTCCAAAATACAGCCAGTGAGCTTCTGGGGCTGAAGTTTGTACTTCCATAAACTGAACTAAGTGAAAGAATGACATTTAACTTTTCTTTCCTATAATATCTTGTTTGTCAGCCAAAGAATTCATAGAAGATAAGCTAAAGGAGCCAGCAGGTGAAATAAAACCAAAATGGTCCAACAGGTATAAGCACTGGACTTTAGGCCGTGGCGCACATCACATGATGGATCAGCATCCTCGTCTGATCCAAAGGATGGAATCTGGGTATGAAAGCAGCGATCGCAATAGCAACAGTCCAGTCAGTCTGGATATGCCTTTGTCAGAGAGCTCAAATATCTCTAGGTACGTTTCATTAAAATGCATTTTAATTTTTCTAACCTTAGTCTTAAAGTATCTCAATACATTATTTTACTGTGAAATGAGAAATTATTAAAAACTACCTTAAAAATTGAAAGATGGAGGGCAATAGAAGAAAGGGATGACAGAGAATGAGGTGGCTGGATGGAGTCACGGAAGCAGTAGGCGTGAGCTTAAATGGACTCCAGAAGATGGTAGAGGGCAGGAAGGCCTGGAGGAACGTTGTCCATGGGGTCGCGATGGGTCGGACACGACTTCGCAACTAACAACAACAACAACCACCTTAAAATTATTGAGCAAAACTTTAAAAATTAGAACAAATTAAGAACTTCATTTCCACTTCATAAGCATGTATTTTCTACCTTTTTAAACAGCAATGTCAGGCCCTTGCATTGAAGAACTTATATTGTCCCATTTCTAAGCAAGCAGGGGAGGGGCATTCTGCCTTTTCAGTCTTGTTTCTTTTGTTGCACAAAAGCAAGAATAGAATAGAATGGAATAGAATAGAATAGAATAGAATAGAATAGAATAGAATAGAATAGAATAGAATAGAATAGAATAAGGAATAGAATAGAATAGAATAGAATAAGGAATAGAATAAAATAGAATAGAATAAGGAATAGAATAGAATAGAATAAGGAATAGAATAAAATAGAATAAAATAAGGAATAGAATAAGGAATAGAATAAGGAATAGAATAGAATAGAATAGAATAAGGAATAGAATAAGGAATAGAATAAGGAATAGAACAGAACAGAACAGAATAATAGAATAGAGCTGGAAGGGACCTTGGAGATCTTCTAGTCCAACCCCCTGCTCAAACAGGAGAACCTATATCGTCTCAATTGTCAAATGTTTAGCCTTCTTTATCTTCTTTCATTTGAGCTATTTGGGGGCTGTATTTTCTACTTACTGCAGGGAAGTGTTGATCTTAACAGAGAAGAATGACTATCGAAAAAACATTTGCTCCTTTCTCCAAAAATACGATGCTGCTTCAGAGTATGTTAACTAATGTACATGACCCTTGAGGTTCTTTCTAACCCCCATAATTTTATGAGTGAATAATTTTATGTAATAAAATCTTCTGTTCCCATTTACCAAAGATTGAGCAGATGGAAAAGATCAGTTTTAAAACTTTTGCCCCTGATTTGGGGAATCCTTTTTAAATCAGTTTTCTGGTAAAGAGGAAAAATACCTTGAGTGGGAGTGGGAAGTTTTTGCTCTATCGGAAGAACAGAGATTGCTAAAACAAGAAAAAGAAAAGAGGACATACTTGGAAATTCTGAAGGGGCTGAATGGAGATGGCACTCCTCTCCTTCCTTCCTTCCTTCCTTCCTTCCTTCCTTCCTTCCTTCCTTCCTTCCTTCCTTCCTTCCTTCCTTCCTTCCTTCCTTCCTTCCTTCCTTCCTTCCTTCCTTCCTTCCTTCCTTCCTTCTGCAGCCAAGCTTTATTTTTCAAAATAAAGTAACAGTAGTAGACTTAGGATTTTTATTGCTCCTTTACAAAGAAAAGTGAAAGTGTTTCATGAAAAAATATTTTTTTTTCCTTTTTAAAGGGATTATCATATCAAACGAACTGGAGATGTTATTCCTGCCTGGCATAATATTCCAAAATCACATAGCAGTAGCATCTTCGAAGTAGAGTCTGCCTCATCTGCAGCCTGCAGGACAAAAAATAAATACTCCTTTGGTAATGGTAAGGTATCATTCTCCAAATACTTGCAATCCTGGATCATATTATGATCTCCCCTTTTTTTCTAGGCCAGTGGTGGCGAACCTATGGGACGCATGCCAGAGGTGGCACTTAGAGCCCTCTCTGTGGGCACGCGTGCCATGCCCCGGAGATGGCAACCGTTCCTCTTCAATCAGCCGCCCGCTAACTCGCCGAGGTCCCACATGGCCGGATGCATCCCAGCATCCATGCGCTCGCTGGCCTCCGTGTGCAGGGCCCAATGGTGTCAGGCAGGAGCCGCCCCGGCCCCTGCCTCACCTTGCCCTGTGACAATGGCACCCCCGCCCTGCCTCGCCTTGCCTCATGTCACCCCGCAGGACAAGCCTCCTGCCCACCGCCCCACCTGCCAAAGACCCCCTGTATCCCTCCCAACCCTACCTGGCCCCCACAGGCATCCCTCCCCACGAGCAACATCGAGGTGATCACGCCCACCTTGGCCACACTCACCCAATCTGTCATGACCACCACAGCCACGCCCACCCAGTGGGCCACGCCCACCTGGCACCCAGCGATAAGTGAGTTGCAGTTTCGGCACTCGGTCTCTAAAAGGTTCGCCATCACTGGTATAGTTTAAGAGTTAATTTTTAGAAGTACTCAGACATAACTATTTCAGAAGACTATAATCTCCAAATAGTTGTACTTATAAGTTGTACTTATGGGTAAGAAATTCAATAAAGAAAATAAGGAATGTAAACAAAGGAAGCTCAGATATATCTCAGTGAAAAAATTAAACTGTGTAAGAAAGAAGGTATTTGCGTGTATCCCGAGTTCGAATATTGGTAAAAGGGTAGCTTCTTTTAGTTAAGTCACAGCAAATCATATATCAATTTAATTTCAATTGCAATAAATATATGCAGCCTAGTAATTTACTAATTGCAAGGCCTTTTTATGCCCAGCTCCCATCTTTGCTAATAAAGATTTTTCCAGACTATGTTTCATAGAAAAGGTGGTAGGTAGGATTAGGAAGTTCTGCACACACAAAAAATACTGTATGGCTGAACCTCTATAACCATTGCAAGCCCAGCCCAGCAGACACTCTATAGCAGTGGTTCTCAACCTGTGGGTCGGGACCCCATTTGGGGTCGAACGACCATTTCACGGGGGTCGCCAAACAACGCAGTCCGCCATTTTTTCCCCCTTTTCCTTAGCTGTGCTACTCCCTTTTATTCTATTGGCTTTTGAAAGCCAATAGGAATTGTCCAGGCTGTCTCTGCCCTGCTGAGCCCCAAAAGTCCCAGTCTGCAAACGGTGCTGCACCAGTTGAATAGTCCTCGACTTACGACTGGTTGAGTAGTCCTTGACTTACGACCGGTTGGGGGGGTCACGGCATTAAAAAGGTTGAGAACCACTGCTCTATAGACTATTTTTACCTCTGATAAACCTTTTATTGGAAGCTGTTGTTTGACTCAAGATTTCTATTAGCCACAGTTCATTTAACGAAACTAGCCTTATAAGAAGTACAGAAAACTATGAAAGTAAACAATGTGGTAATTAAATGTAATATAAGATGAAACTTTGGGGGGGGGGTTCCCTCTAAAGGTGGGGAGCTACTTGTTTCTTCCAAAAGTGAACTAGATGAATTACAAGAAGAAGTAGCAAAGAGGGCCCAGGAGCAAGATTTCCAGAGGAAGCAGGAAAAGGAATTAGAGGCAGCCATGGGCTTTAATCCCCACCCAAGCAGATTCATGGATTTGGATGAACTGCAGAATCAAGGTAATGATGTGCTTGGAAAAATGATAATAGATAGTATACTAATCTGCTGTGCATTCAGAAAGACAAACATATAAATATGAATTTTTTTGTAAAAAAAAATAGTTTTTTGCCATGATTTAATAAATTGAGGCAAAGCACTAGAAGAAGAGAAAAAGGGAAAAGAAATAAAAGCAATTCAAAATAAAAGAATAACATATATAAGGGCTTCTCATATATGTAGATATGCATGTAAAAATATATTCAACAGTTACAGAATTTCATTGGAATTATCCATATTTAACGTACATCTGTAAGCAACGTGCTCATATATCACAGGTTTTCAATCTATTGAATAATTGCGGCCATAAATTTATCTTTTCAATATTGAAGAAAATGGAGGAATTTCCTTAACAGTAAGAAGTGCAAGGATAATCTGTCAATTTCAGTGGTTCTCAAAACAATAAGACATTACAAAGAAGTTAAGATTTTTTTAAAAAAATGATTCATTCATTCATTGATTCATTCATTCATTCATTGTCCAATAGCCCAATAATATATTGGGCCCAACAAGTCTTAAATATTATTTTTATGAATAAGATATATTTTAACATCTAGTGAAATTTTAACACGTTAATACAGTTTCCTGAAGTCAGTATAATTTAAAACAAGAGCATACCACCAAGAAAAAAAATAAATTGCTAATTTAGATTTAAATTTAAAAGTTTATAAAAGTCTTAATAGCATATTGAAAACTTATCTAATAAAATAAATCTAATAAAATCTAATTTTGAATAATGGAAAAAGGAATGTCGATGAATATCTGAATGTGTAAATAGCTTAATAAGGAAGATAAACACATATATACTCAAGCCACCTATAAATTAGAATACTGAAATTAATATCTGAAATGTTTAAACAGAGTACTAATTATGACGTTTTGAATGTAGTAATGCATTTCCAGTGCCTTTTAATTTTACAGCACCTACAGAGCTGAGTCTGCATCATGTATATTTTATTAACTTACTTTCTTTATTCGTGTCAGATTATAGACATATAATGATTGCTAGCAAATAAAATAAGTATGAAATTGATCATAGAAATATACCATGTGTAAAAAGCAGGTAAAATAAATAGGAATAAAACTGAATGACATTTTATTAACTTAATTTGGATACTATCAAGGTAGGGAAGACCACAGCTAAGCTCTCTGTCCAGAAAAAAATCCCTATTGGTTCATGAGCCTTAGCCACTAAAAGTGCTATAGATCAGGGATCCCTACACCAGGCCATGGGCTCTTGGCCAGCGGGCCATGGAAACAGATGGCCGGAGTGCACATGTGTGGGTATGCATTTCCCCCCCCCCTCATGCTAGTGGCCACGGCCCTTTTTGCGGATGCACAAACAGGAATACTAGCGTGGGGTGGGTGCCCGTAGCCCATTTGCGCATGTGCCACTAGCCCGGGCAGTTTGCGTGGCCCATTTGCGCATGCGCATGGCACCAGCGCATGCTGCATGCACAAACGGGACTACTAGTGCCGCACCAGTGCACGCACACCAATTTTGAAGCTCCTCTCCTTCCCTCCGGTCCTCGAGCCCGGAAGTACTGCAGGCCACTTTAGCTGACTGTGTTCAGCAGGTCAGCGGTTCAAATCTCACCGGCTCAAGGTTGACTCAGCCTTCCATCCTTCCGGGGTAGGTAAAATGAGGACCCAGATTGTTGGGGGCAATGTAAATATCTATATACATTGCTTACTGGTGTACACCGCTTAGAGAGTGCTTGCACTTAAAGCGGTATATAAGTCTCATAAATAAATAAATAAAATAAATAAATATAGATGTCACTTAGAAATCCCATTGACCTTGGAAGTTCATCAGAATTATGCTGGAAGGGATCTTGGTGGTCTTCTACTCCAATCCCTAGCTTAAGAAGAAGACCTTGTACCATTTAAGACAAGTGATTGTCCAGCCTCTTCTTAAAAACCTCCAGTGATGAAGCATCTATAACTTCTGACAGCAAGTTGTCCCACAGGTTAATTGTCCTTACTATTAGGAAGTTTCTCTTTAGTTCCAGGTTGCTTCTCTCCTTGATTAGTTACCATCCATTGTTTCTTGTCCTGCCTACATGTTCTTTGATAAATAAGTTGACCCCCTCCTCTTTGTGACAACCTCTCAAATACTGGAATACTACTATCATGTCTCCCCTATTTCTTCTCTTCTTTACACTAGCCAAACCCAAGTCCTGCAGCCGTTCTTCATGTGTTTTAGTCTCCAGGCCCTTGATCATCTTAGTTGCTCTTCTCTGAACTTTTTCCAAAGTCTCAATATCTTTTTTGTAATGCAGTGACCAAAACTGGATGCAGTATTCCAGGTGCGGTCTTACTAAGTTAGGGTTATAAAGAGGTATTAATACTTCACGTGGTTTTGATTCTGTGCCTGTGTTTATACAACGAAGAATTATATTCGCTTTTTTGGCTGCTGCCACACACTGTTGACTCATATTTAAATGATTGTCCACTAGGATTCCAGGGTTCCTGTCACAGTTACTGTTTTTGAGCCAGATTTCTGTTCTTGTACCTTTGGTTTTTCCTGCCTAAATGTAAAACTTTGCTTTTCTCCATATTAAATTTTATGTTGTTGGATAGGGCCCATTATTCAAGTCTATCAAGATCTTTTTGGATCCTGGTCTTCTGGGGTATTGGCTATTCCTGCCAGCTTAGTGTCATCTGCAAATTTGATGAGTTCCCCTTCTATTCCGTCATCTAAGTCATTAATGAAGATATTGAAGAGTACTGGACCTAAGATGGAACCTTGCGGCAACCCACTGCTTACTTCTGTCAAGGCTGATTCACTCTTTCAGCCACATTTTCTCATTCGCTCACAGCTTGACACAAAAGGGAAGCAGTGGTGGAATGGAATGCAAAGGTGGGGGGATGGCATCATTCTAGGTAACCGAAGCATATCTGGAAATTTGCAAGGACACTGAGTGTGGCTAGCTGTTTTCTTATAACAAAATGAACAGAAGTGATTGGTGGACTGTAGTTGACTCAGACAGAAAGAGGGAAATAACTATCCTTGAGTGGGAAATCCAGAGCTGGTTTTGCTTCTTCTGTGCCAATGTAGTTTTTCAGTAAAGTACTCGTTGAGTATGGTTTGTCAGCCAGTTACAAATCCATCTGGTGGTGATGCTATCTATCCCACATTTTTCTAGTTTACGAAGAAGTAGGTTCCACTATTTAATAGCTGTAACAGTGAGGAAATTCCTTCTAATTTCAAGTTTCAATCTCTCTCTACAAAGTTTTTGTTTACCGGTTCTTGTCCTAGCTTCAATACCAATAAGTAATAAATCCATACCCTTTTTTCTGTGACGGTCTTCAAATATTGAAAGCCTGCTCTTATGTCTCTTTAGTCTTCTCTTCTTTAGGCTAAACATGGCCCATTTCTTTTAATTATTTTTCATAGGATTTAATTTCCAAGTACTCTATTCTTCAGCCCAATTTATTAAACTGATTTGTAAAACTGGGTTTCATTAGCATGTTAATAAAACCCTGTTCCAACTCTCTATGCTGTATAACCTCCCTTGTTATTGTGGAAAGAATTTTATTTTAATAATAATAATAATCATAGGATATTTTTTTATTCCAAATTAACTTGATTTATCTCACTGTCTCAGCTATCCCTTAACCATTAACACAAATCCATGATCCACCCAGATTGGAGATTCTGGGAGATAGTTGTAACAATAGATTACTAAATTGCACCTCTGCTAAGCTATCAACTGACAATAACAAAGTCAAGTACCTAAACCAGGGGTAGGCCACCTTGGCTCTTTTATGATTCGTGGACTTCAACTCCCAGAATTCCTAGCCAGCATGGCTCAGCTTGGAAACCTCTCCCTTTCCCCTCAGCATGGCTGGCTCAGGAATTCTGGGAGTTGAACTCCACGAGTCATAAAAGAGCCAAGGTGGCCTACCCCTGACCTAAACCAAGAGTAATTAACCAGACAAAGAACTTGTTCAGTCACACTTCCCCATACCCACCCCACACTCACAAACAGGCTACCCAGACACCATTTACACAACAAAAGTCAAGCCAACACCAGGAAGGACAATTAAAATTGACCTTTTGACTGAGTCCTGCACTGGAACCAGCATATACACATCCCCACACCCCAAGCCCATACCAAGGACCAGTCCCCCTTATAAAACAAAGTCTCTGTACCCCATTTTCTCTGTAGTTGCCCCAAGAGCAAGCCTCTTCGCTTTTGGCCATAAATGGATTGCTGCTGGTGCGTGCGATAATCCCAGCTTAGAAAAGGGACACAGAACATTGTTTTAACATTACACATGTCTTTGCTTCCGATGCATATTCCTCGCATTGGTTGCAGACAGATTTCAAACAAACAGGGCTTCAGGATATGTGATCTGCAATATAAGGGGAGGGGTGGATATGGATGGGGGCTGTTTAGAATAGATGAAGGGAGAAAGAAACTTGGAATGGAAATCAAGAATGCTGCCCTTGCAGGGAGAATTGATGGCTTTGAGAGGTCCGTGCAAGAGGCAGATTCAGTCTTTCAAGAGTCACTGCGTCAAGAGCAGAAAGGAGATTGTGCTGCAGCTCTGGCTCTCTGTAACGAAGCTATATGTAAGTATTTATTAATTGCTTCGGCTTACTCTGCTTTGTACAGTTTATCTATTAACATAACCTAAGTCAGTGATGGCGAACCTTTTAGAGACCGAGTGCCGAAAAAACGCCCCCCACCCCCGTCCCTGCTCTGCCCTGCCCACTGGGCCACCCACCATCTCCACAGCCCGCCACATCACTCAGGCAGCCCAGCAGTGCCATGGCGGCCATGCCCTCTACCCGTGCCCTGCAGCATCATATGCGCGGGATGGGGCGCAAGGGTAGAGTCTTGTCCCCGCTGCCCGGCTACCATGTCCTTGGCTGCTCTGCTTCGCGTGGGCTGCACCCAGGGGCGATTCTCCTCCGGGGGGGGGCTGCTGGTGAGGAGGGGACCGTGGGAGGAGGCGGGGCTGGGGAAACGGTGCATGTGCCCATAGAGAGAGCTCCAAGTGCCGCCTCTGGCACCCATGCCATAGGTTCGCCACCACTGACCTAAGTTAACAGAATTAACATGTTTAATACAAACTAAATCAGAAGGGGGGGGATGTAAAAGATTTCTTTTTTCTGTTTTTTTGCTATTGTACTTCCTTGTAATATCAGAATATAATATTCTTTTTTTTATTACTTGGGGCTCCTTCTGTTGAAAGCTGAGAAAGGCAGATGAATTCTTGATGCCACCTATTCTCTCTGCTAATTATGCTTTCCTGCGTTTTCTCCTGCCCATAATTTTCTCAGTTCAGAAGCTGGTTTATCAAAAAGTTTTCATTTCCGAAGTGTAGCGTGAAGTTGCTCAATCACACACACAAAAAAGCAAAATGTATACAGCAAAATGTCAAGGAGATGAAGAAAAGGAGAGTCATTGTTTAAAATATGTGCTGTGATTTTTTTTTTAGGAATTTGTGCTGCTGCATTTTTTTTTATTTTTATATCTCATATTTTTGATTGGCTAATTCTCCTTCCCACATCCTCCATTCTCTTCTTGCTGGTTAGCAAAGTTGTAGACAAATTGGCTTTGGATGATTCACAGTATTTGTTTCTAGAAATCCTCACTAATGGATTAAGGAAACAAGAACGCAAAAACTAGACTTCAGGAAAGCTTTGCCAGCAAACGTCTCACCTGGCTGCCTATTGGGTTCCAGCTAACTGGGATTCGAGACAAGTATTTGGATTTAAATGGTTAGTTACATGAGGGTTACAGTGACCTAGGTCACCAAGGGCATTTCATTAAAAACCATTTAAAATCTTGCTTAATTCCACTATTTTATTTCTCATTAACTTGTTTGGACATGTAGCTAACCCGAATGTGCCTTATTGGGAATAGATGCATCCTTGGGAACTTTTTCATGGCAGTATTTGCATGTTCCTTTTTATTTTATTTTATTTTATTTTTTGTTGCATCATTACTTTTCTCTCTCCTTCCCCGAGTTTTGTTTTTTTGTTTCTGCTATGTTTTCTTTTGCTTTTTAGCTAAACTAAGACTTGCCATGCATGATGCCAGCTCTAGCACTCAGAGCAGAGTTCTAATCGATAAGAAGCTGCAAATCTATGTCCGAAAAGAGCGGAGCCTCCAGGATCGCATGCAGCAACAGCAACCTGTACAACCGCCGTCCACCTGCCACCCACCACCGGGCGGCAACATGACCCAATCTACAAGGTAGACTAAAAAAAATATTGCCATACTCCAGATCTGAATTGGGCCTGATCTGGAAAGGACCTTCCCCTGTTGTATGAAACTTCATTATTTCACTCAGATCTTGAATGATAACGAGTATGATGGGCTCTCAGGGTAATTCTAGAATGAATGTCAGGTATAAAATATTGTTACGCTTGACGCAGGGTCAAATTATTCTCGAAAACACCAAAGAGCAGGATAAGATACAATAATTGGAAACTAATTAAAAAGAGAAGCAACCTGGAATTAAGGAGAGGACATCATGGGCACTCTATCACTGGAAGTTTTTAAGAAGAGACTGGACAGTCACTTATCTGAAATGGTATAGGTTCTTCTGCTTGAGCAGGGGGTTTGTGTACTCTACAAATTTGATGTTTTCTAACCCCTCATCCAAGTTATTTATAAATATGTTCAAGAGTGGAGGGTATAAGAATGGAAACCCATACACCTATTGACATGTCCCTCAATTTTGACATCGGGCCATTTGGACAAATTGGGAGAGGGGGCAATGAGTCAGCCACTTCTGTACCCATCTAATGGTAGCATAATCCAGCCCATTGTTATCACCACCTGTACAAGAATTTTATCAGAGTCTTTGCCAACTACTTCGTTGAAGTCTACCACATTCTCACGGGCAACTGAGCTGGCCACACTATCAAATCAGGTTCATTTGACATGATTTATTCTTGATAAACCCATGCTGGTTTCTAATAAACAATGCTTGTTTTTTTTAAATACATTCTCAAAAAGCAGCTTCTTAAGAATCTATTCCAGTTGAGGTTGAGGTATATAAGATGCTATATAAGAGCCGTGATGGCGCAATGGTTAGAATGCAGTACTGCAGGCTACTTCTGCTGATTGCCAACTGCCAACAGTTCGGCAGTTCGATTCACACTGGCTCAAGGTTGACTCAGCCTTCCATTCTTCCGAGGTTGGTAAACTAAGGACCTAGATTGTTGGGGGCAACATGCTGACTCTTTAAACCGCTTAGAGAGGGCTGTAAAGCACTGTGAAGCAGCATATAAGTCTAAGTGCCATTGCTACTGCTATATCCTAAACGAGGGGTAGGCAACCTTGGCTCTTTTATGACTCATGGACTTCAACTCCCAGAATTCCTGAGCCAGCATGGCTCAGCTTGGAAACTCTCCCTTTCCCCTCAGCATGGCTGGCTCAGGAATTCTGGGAGTTGAAGTCCACGAGTCATAAAAGAGCCAAGGTGGCCTACCACTGTCCTAAACCAACTGCAGTGCTGATAAACTGCCATCTGGTATATTCCCAAAGTTTTTTTTAATTTTAATAAATATTGGAAGATTATTCTAAATAGACTACCATGTTTTGGCAGTGCAATTGAAGAGTTTTTTGAATGACTATAAACAACAGTCTGGAAAGTATATGTGGATATAAACCTTTCCTGCGCTTCCAAAATTACTTTTTGTTATTTGAACTTGAAAAATTTTAGAACCAGCAATTCTTTCTTCATAAGCAAAAGAATTAGATATGTCCTAGTCTAATTTTTCCCTATCCTATTCCTTATGATTTTTTTTTTTTACTGTATCTGAAACAGACCTGGATGCAAACTTTATGCAATTTTGTGTTTAGCTGTGTGTCTGTACCAAATTCTTTATCATAATAGTATCTTCAATTGTTTATGACAATAGTAACATAATAGCCAGTAACAATAAGAATATGACCTTTAGCAGAAATTCTAGCAAACTATAAATCAGGATCAGATGTACATTATCAGCATCTCATTAGGATTTTTATCTGTTTACAATAATGTGAGGTCACAGCTGCCAACTCTTTAGCTGGTGTTGGACTTCATACACATTGAATTCTTCCCAAGAACCTAGCATGTTGTCATGTATCAGCACGTGTGTGTGCGGATCCAGGCACTATGGCCTTTTGCAATTGAGAGATGGAAATTTTGTCAATGCACAGATTTTCTAAGTCAGTGTTTCTCAACCTTGACAATTTTAAGGCATGTGGACTTTAACTCCCAGAATTCTACAGCCAGCATTGCTGGCTGTGGAATTCTGGGAGTTGAAGTCCACATGCCTTAAAATTGTCAAGGTTGAGAAACATTGTTCTAAGTGGTAGCCAAGATTATGGCTACTTGCCCAGTCATGGTTTAGGCTGAATTTGGCATTTTTATTCACTTATTGAGCCCTTCCCAAGGACCTGGGATAGACAGATGTTGTTTGTTAAAGGTATGATGATGATGATGATGATGATGATGATGATGATGATGATGATGACGATGATATTGGATAGAAAATGACCAGTTTAAGGATCCTTTTGTGTGGCTTCCAGCTTTCTCCTAGCATTGTTCTTTTTTGCTATTTAGCAAAGCTACCTATTTATGATCAGGGACTACATGCATCATTTGGAGGACAGTGAAGCAAAATGTATTGGGCCATGGCACACATAGGTAGACATGGCCAGGTTTTTTATTTGTTTAATGCTCTCCTTCTTTTCAAAATAATGTTCAACTAATTTTAACTTATTGTGAAACAGTTTGGTTACAGTGGTTAAGGCACCAGTGGTTAAGGCTAGAAACAAGGAGATCCTGAGTTCTAGTCATACCTTGGGCACACAGCCAACTGAGTGTCCTTGGGTCGGTCACGTTCTCTCAGCTCCAGAGGAGGCAACAGAAACCACCTCTGAAGTCTTACCAAGAAAACTGCAGGAGCTGTCCAGGCAGCTGCCAAGAGTCAAGGCACAAGGGGAAAAAATGCTTATGCTATTATTTCCATGCCACTGATTAACAGCTAGGACGGTGTTTGAGAGGTTTGGAAACCCTGGAAAAAGAGTTGGAAGGGCAAAAAAAAAAATGGCTTAATCTCTTTGATATCTTTTGCCCTACCATTAAAAAAATCCTCATTGCAAAAAACTATATTGATATTGCCTTAGTTTTCATAATTGTCCTTCTGGTTACTGGTCATGGCCAAAAAAAAACCCCCTCACACAGCATACATTTATTATTACAACTCCTTGTTTTTATTATCAAGAGTTGTGATATTTATCATGGGAAACTCTTATTAAAAAGGAAAGGTTCTTCAGCTTTTTACACACAGCAGTGCGGGCTGTTAGGCTAATTTAGATGTACTCAGTTGAAATGCAATTATATGTGAAAATACGAATCATATAAACCGATTCTCCCATATTCTTTTATAAATTATATTGCACAAGTTTATTAATACTATTTTAAAAAAGCATAAGAATGTTGTCTAATATTTCTCAGTAGAAATTCATTGCATCATATTGACAGTGGTTGAAGTTTTTTGAACATTTACTGATGAAAGGTTTTTTTTTAATGGGGAAAAGAGGGAACTCAGTTCTACAAGAAGAATTCTGCTGTAATGGGATGGACTGTATTCCTGTACAGTAAAGAATGGCATGATGTTAGTCCATGGTGAAGATATTCTCCATTTGACTCATCTTCAAATCTTCAAGAATATATTAACACACGTACGTTCTTGAGGTTGAAACTGTTGATCATTGGAGAAATTCTTCAATGAAAAATTATTTTTTCCAAAATAGATAATAATAATAATAATTTTTATTTTGCGATCACAGACCAAAATACAAGTGCAACAAAAGAAAACACAGAAAAATATAATCACAAACAATTAAAACCAGAAGCCTTGGCTTAAGGGGAATTACAACGTTCTCCTCTAATAGTTACAGCTCTTAAAAGAAATTTAGAAACCTGAGAAGTAATATAGGAGGAGCCATTCCCTAGACCAGTGGTTCTCAACCTTTTTAATGCCGCAAACCCAACTGGTCGTAAGTCGAGGACTACTCAATTGGTGCAGTACTGTTTGCAGAATGGGACTTCTGGCGGGCTTAGCAGGGCAGAGACAGCCTGGACAATTCCTATTGGCTTTTGAAAGCCAATAGAATTAGACTCTGTTCAAGAGTCTATTCTATTGGCTTTCAAAAGCCAGTAGAATAAAAGGGAGTAGCACAGCTAAGGAAAAGGGGAAAAAAATGGCGGACAGCCTTGTTTGGCAACCCCCGTGAAATGGTCGTTCGACCCCAAATGGGGTCCCGACCCACAGGTTGAGAATCACTGCCCTAGACAATATAAAACCAAATTACTAACATTAGAACCAGAGGGATCAGTTCCAAGGAGAGGCAATAGTTTAATTCTGGCTGTATTATACATAGGGCAGTATAATAAGACATGCTCCACAGTTTCAACTTCAGCCCTATCACAAGGGCATAGTCGCTCACTAAACGGGAGCCTCTTGAATCTCCCGTCGAGTAGTGCTGAGGGCAAGACATTGAAACGGGCTAGGGAAAAGACTCTTCTATACTTGGGGATGGTTAGAGTATAGAAATAAGAGGCCATCCTCAATCCATAATTATTAGAATGGCTAAAGATTATTAGAGTGGCTAAAGATCAAAGGGGAGCAGGTTTTATTGGCCCTGGCTCTTAAGTATTGCAAATCTATGCCCACAAGCCGTTGGACTACCCTAATTGTTCTTAGTGCCATTCTGATACCAGAAAAATTTATTATCAGATTAGCAATTCTGTATGCAACCGTGCAATAATTTTACACTCACAGATACCTGATACCAGAAAACACTTGATAAATTAGGTACCTTGTTAACTTAGTAGATTTTGCCTTAGCCTAATATTTCTAATTAGGAATCATCAGTTGCTGATGATGATTTTATGTGTGTTTCAGTAAACAGACTGTCCCACTCCAAGTACTGCTGAAACAGAAGAGTGTGCTGGAGCCCAGCAAAGAAGCAGCACCTGGGTCCAGATCCTACGTCCATCCACTCGCTTCCCATCCTGAAAAGGAATCATCATATTCCAAGCCCACATTTCAACCCCTTCTTGAGAACAGCCTGAACTTTCAAGCGGCTTCTGTTACTTTCAGTGATCAAGCTACTCCGTTTCCTTACAGACAACCTGGTAGTGACCAATGCATTCAGACTAAGAGTGAAATTGATGGCGATGTGAAACTTGCTTCTTCTAGCACCTTAAAAAATTACGAAGACCACAACAATAATATTAAGGTCAAGAACCTACATGATGCAGCATCTCCTCCTGCCCCCTACTGCAAAATGAACGTAACTATAACAAACTCTGAGTCATTATCTACGCTCTTCCCCTCTTCGCCACCGTCAGAAGCTCCACCTGGCAAAAAAGGCCTACCTAACCCACTTCTCAATTCAGGAAATACTTCAGAATGGCCTAGTGCTGCTCCACCTGGGGACCTTCATGGTGCAATACTGCTTTCTCTTCCACCTCTGCCTCATTGTGCTCCAGAAGAATTACAGACGACCGGGCAACTTGAGGTAAACAGTCACGAGAGTTTACATCATCCACAAGAAGTCGTCGGTGGGGATTCTTCGAAATCCAAAGGTGTAAGTAGCAAAAGGGACTTTTTTTCCGTTGCAGAACAGGTTCAGTGGTTGGAAGGAAATTTCCAAAGACAAGGTACTTGTGAGGAAAAGAGGAAGGCAGCTATCCGTTGTGATCAAAATGCTCCAAAATTACAGCAGGAATTCCACAGCAGCCATTTGTACCTCAAGGTGTCGGATGTCGGAAGACAGGAGAACGGAGTGGCACCTGCCAAAACGTTGGACTCAAGTCTTTCTAAAACTCAGTTGAGTCCTGAAGATGGTCTGAGTGCTTCCAACGTCCTTTCTGAAAATTCCGATTCACGTACAAAAATCCTCTGCCACCAAGGGAAGCCGTGTTCCTTGAATCCCAAGTTATACCCAAGAAAACGCAGCTGTGAGGAAAAAACAAGGCACACCAGTTACAGAAATCCTGCTGGCTCGATTGCCTCTGTGCCCGTGGCGAGTTGCATAGACCATGTTAGCAATTCTGACACAGCAATAACTCAGCATAAGACTGCCGGCTGGCTTTTGATGCCTGGAAACAAATCACCTCTGATCAGTCAAAGAGCTTTGGGGGAATACCCAGTGCAGAATCAGGAAACAGCGCAGGAAGTTTCTGAGCTGGAATCTCTGTACCAGGCCAGCATGCAAGTACCTCTATTGGGAAAACTGGACGGTTCCAAACCGGCGCTGAACAAAGCAGGTAAAATTATTTTATGTGCTATGTGTTGTATTTTCTTAGGGGGTCTTCATCTTCATGTTCCTTCCTAATACTTTGGATGTTGAAAGGCAGTGGCCCTGCATGTTTTTAGTTTGCATTAGGCCAGTGGTTCTCAACCTTTTTAATGCTGCGACCCCCAACCGGTCGTAAGTCGAGGACTACTCAACTGATGCAGCACCATTTGCAGAATGGGGCTTTTGGCGGGCTCAGCAGGGCAGAGACAGCCTGGACAATTCCTACTGGCTTTTGAAAGCCAATAGAATTAGACTCTATTCAAGAGAGTCTATTCTACTGGCTTTCAAAAGCCAATAGAATAAAAGGGAGTAACACAACTAAGGAAAAGGGGGGGAAAATGGTGGATTGCGTTGTTTGGCGACCCCCCGTGAAATGGTCGTTTGGCGACTCCCGTGAAATGGTCCCGACCCACAGGTTGAGAACCACTGCATTAGGCTGACTGACATTAATACATTAGGAAAACATGGACTGCATTTCCTAAATGTAAAGCATTTGAGCATAACCACTGTTGAAACAAGGTTTGTTAAAAGTACGTTGCAACATTTTTATGTTACATTTAACAAAACTATTTTGATGCTCAACTGTTGTTCTTTAGTGACTGCACACACATTTCTTATGAAAAGAGCATGAATTAAAAAGCTTTCAAAAACTGACACCTCGCCTGGAAACAAAGTTTTAGGGGCAATAGTATGTTGTTCTTTGTGATGTCTGATCTTCAGGGGAAAAGCCTTGCAGCAATTCTCTTCTCTCTTTTGTAGTGACCTCTCTGAAATAAAGTATATCCTCTTAATGCATTTTATGTGATTTAATCCATTTCCCTAAGACAGTGGTTCTCAACCTGTGGGTCGGGACCCCATTTGGGGTCGAACGACCATTTCACGGGGGTCGCCAAACAAGGCTATCTGCCATTTTTCCCCCCTTTTCTTTGGCCACACCCCTGGCACCCGGTGATGTATAAGTGGTTGGGGGTCACCACAACATGGGGAACTGTATTATGGGATCACGGCATTAGAAAGGTTGAGAACCACTGCCCTAAGATGAAAATAGGAGAAGCTCACAATAACAAAGAAACTGACTTTAATTATGGGGAATATTTAGATGAATGGTTTTTGTTATGGCAACTGACATTTATTTCCTGTCAGTTATTATGAGCTTCCTCTATTTTCATTCTAGGAAAATTCATTAAACCACATAAAATGGAATTTCACATCGAAAATTAAGAGGATAGATTTTATTTCAGATAAAATATCTGAAGATCATATAGACAGAACTTCAGTTTAATCTCCTTTCTTTTTTCCTTCTTCTTCTCCCGTGTATCAGCAAACTTGCCTACAAGAAAGACGTATAGGGGTCTGTCAAGAACAGCAGAACCTGAACACAACACCTGTGGAAATATTGGTTCTCCAGATACTAAGACACATGTAAGGATATGCTAGAGTGAGAACTGGGTTATGGGAATGCTACTTGTACAGATGAAAAAAATGTAAGGAAATAAAGTAGGAATATTTTTACCAATGTTAATATTAAATATAGATGGTAAACATTTCAGATAGAGTGTACTATACCTCTTTCCTTCTATAGTGATGCAAGATATTATCACTAGTAAGATCTTAGATACAGTAGCTGAACATGTTGTAATCCTGTCTTGTTTTTATTTTAAAACAATGGTTATATGATGGATTTCTACAGCTTACTATTGCAACTGACTACAGTATAAAATGCTTAACTATCTACCTTAAGGTATTTAACAGAATCCATTCTAACAGTGGCTTATTTAGATAAGTGCTGTATATGGGAGAGATTCAGAAAGATAATAAATGTAAACTTCCACAAGGCCAAGAGTAAAAACAGAATTGAGTTTATAAGGCACTGCCTTAGTCTCTCTGCAGAGTATTTTCCACAAATAGAATATCATCACTGGAAAAGCTCTCTCTCTTACAACTTTGCTTCATTTGCAGAAGCAGTGGCAAATCTTAAGTTCAGATCTGAAGAACCAGGTAGATAAATACAGGAGGAGATGCTTCTTCAGGTAGCTTCCCCCAAACTGTTTAGGATTTAGAGTTTAACACCAGCAGTGCATGTGCAGTCTGGTGACAGATGTGCTAGGATGATCTCATTGCATTAACCAGCTCATTTAGCAATCTGATGTGGATCCTGTTCAAAAGTATGATGAATAAAACAACGTTAGCCTAAATAATAATGTAACATCTGTATACCACCCACCTCTCAGCAACTACACACAGCTCACAATAATCAAAGCAGGTTTAGCCTAGTAGTTGTAAAAACATGAAATGAACTCAGTCCGTGATGTTGTGGGAGTACTTGAATGCTGTGATTCTGTGCATTCATTTACCATGAAGTTTTCTTTCTGAATATAGGTGCCATATACTGGCCAGGAGCCAGAAGAGGAAACCTACAGTGCAGAGAACTTCCGTCGCATTGCACGCAGTCTCAGTGGGACAGCCATCACAAGCAAAGAAGAGAAACTTGCTTCTTCTCAGAATTTTGTAAGTAAAATGGTTGAAAAGGAAATTTCTTGAACTGCTGCACTTGATTGGTTTAGCGCAGGGGTAGGCAACCTTGGTTCTTTTATGACTCATGGACTTCAACTCCCAGAATTCCTGAGCCAACATGGCTCAGCTTGGAAACCTCTCCCTTTCCCCTCAGCATGGCTGGCTCAGGAATTCTGGGAGTTGAAGTCCATGAGTCATAAAAGAGCCAAGGTTGCCTACCCCTGACCTAGGCCTAGGCCGCTTTATGACTCGTGGACTTCAACTCTCAGAATTCCTGAGCCAACATGGCTCAGCTTGGAAACCTCTCCCTTTCCCCTCAGCATGGCTGGCTCAGGGATTCTGGGAGTTGAAGTCCACGAGTCATAAAAGAGCCAAGGTTGCCTACCCCTGACCTAGGCCTAGGCCGCTTTATGACTCGTGGACTTCAACTCCCAGAATTCCTGAGCCAACATGGCTCAGCTTGGAAACCTCCTCCTTTCCCCTCAGCATGGCTGGCTCAGGAATTCTGGGAGTTGAAGTCCACGAGTCACAAAAGAGCCAAGCTTGTCTACCCCTGGTTTAGTGTGATTGCTAAAGGTTTTACAGAAAGAATAGCTTGTTCCACGTTCATCCTGTAAAATATTATCCCATTTTATGGAAAATACTTTCCTGCCGGTGTACTGTTTACAGGTAGGATAATTAAGATTCAAGTGCCCTTTATTTAATTTTGCATTTCTAGTGCCTGACTTACTTTCTAGTACATTCCCTTTGAGTTTTCCTCCTTCTCTTTCTGTGTACTCTCTACATTTTTCCAGCACCTGTGGAGAAAACTATTGTTTTAAATACTATTAATTTGTTAATAGTATTTAAAGCAATAGTTTTCTCCACAGGTGCTGAAAAAATGTAGACATTGCTAAAAGCACTACCTGTTGCTATGATAGCTCATTTCAAGGTCATGCCGGTATGCGCTTTAAAAAGTTTTTAATTAATTTACTTGAATGGAAAGGAAAAAATGCAAAGCAATAACAACATTATATGTGTGAGGGTTTTATGTATATATGTATGTATAAACAACTCATTCATAAGTTGCAAGTGATACTAGGTTTTAAATCCATTGAGTAATTAATATAATAAATTTATATTTCCATGTTAAAGGACATGTCTCCTAGCAATAAGAAGAATGTGGAAGGTCCATTTCCATTGCCCAGCTATCAATTTACATATAAGAAGAATGTAATAGAAAAGAACATTCAAAATATTACATCCTATTCAAATTTCAAAGTGTAGGACATCACAAAAACAAATGTTTTAATGAAACAATAATCTCTTTACACCTTTAACACAATTATTTATTAGATGTATTTAATTAGGCTTATATGACACCCGAGGTGGCGCAGCAGTTAGAGTGCAGTACTGCAGGCCACTTTAGCTGGCTGTGTTCAGCAGGTCAGCGGTTCAAATCTCACCGGCTCAAGGTTGACTCAGCCTTCCATCCTTCCGGGGTAGGTAAAATGAGGACCCAGATTGTTGGGGGCAATGTAAATATATATATACATTGCTTACTGGTGTACACCGCTTAGAGAGTGCTTGCACTTAAAGCGGTATATAAGTCTCATAAATAAAATAAAATAAAATAAATAAAGAGGTATACATAGCACTCCCTATTTTCCACCATAATAACAACCTTGTGAGGTAGGTTGAATTGAGAACATTTGTCGGGCCAAAGTCACCCAGTGAACATCTGGACTACGTTGACTAGAACCTTGGTCTCCCTGATGCTAATCAACACCTAATCACTATCTCACATTGACCCAGAAAGATGTATGTGTTCCTCTTCAATACAAAGGTAATAAGGTCCAATTAGTCCAAAATATTGTTTCTTGAATAAGCTGTAATTTAATATCTTTTCCCATTTTTTATGCCAGTATATAGATGAAATAGGGGTCTCCAGTTCCTTGTGCCATTCAGTCATTAATATGAGTGTGTCAGATTGCTTTATAATTAACAGTTATTATAAACACAAATGATGAGCCTTTTGTGGCCCATAAGATTTAACTACTGCTTATAATAACTATCTGAACGTGAAAATGGCCATGCTTAAACTGAGATGTCAGTAGATATTGCCAGTAAAACAATTTAACATAGGACATTGTGGGAGAAAGCCATCAGGGTGATTTTGGGCCAGCCATGCTCTTTCAATTCCCAACATGAGGTTGGGGTAACAAGCCAGTCAATTCCTGTCATAACAATGGATCAACACTCGGAAGAACCCAAAAAATGGACCCTACACTTGAGGGGAAAATATTAGAAAAGAAACAAAATTGTACACCCTCCTCCCCCCATCATTAGTGTCCGATAAGTAGCCTAAACATTTTGTTCATCTAAACATCCATCAAAATAGTTTCGGTTATTTTCTTATATTCCAACCTCACATGGGAAGGATTGGCAAAATCTAATTTAGCTTGCTTACATTTGCTGTGTAATTAGGGCAATTATTTATTCCTAATAAGTTTTTTTTCTTTGCTCAATTTCTGGTCAAAGTGTCCTATGTAGTCAAAAGAAAAGAAAAATAAGTGATTAAAATCAGCATATTTTTTTCTGCTGCAAATACTGTATTTTTTTTACTGAATGTGAGAACAAAAACTCTTCACTGCTTCTCTCTTCAAATTATGAAATACTAGTTTCTATTTACACTCCTTAGTCGTTACTTGCCAGCTGATTCTTAGACATGCATTACTGAGTATTTGGTAGGAGAAAGAAGACATGGAACAATTTCTAAAGAATCTCCTATGAAAAATATTCTTAAGAAATTGACACGTCTTTCCTAGAAGTTACAACATATTCAACTGCGCTAGTTCCTGTACCTCAGAAATGGATATTTCTCAGCCTGTACATTGTCAATTAGAATCTTTGAGGAATCTGTCGCTCCATTTGTCATAACGCTAAGAGGCTACAGCCATGATGAGAAAAACGATCACTGCCAGAATAAAAATTAAAAACAACGATATGTAAAAAAACATGCATGGAGGTGCTTCAAATGTTCTAGTTGGGGCTGTTCTGTTCCAGGTATTAACTAAAATGTGGCTGTTCTAAGCAGGAATGGTTCAGGGAGAATTTGGAAAAGGCCAGGGCTGAGGCGTTTCCTTGGCCATGTCAGTCAGGGACTTGAGTGGTGGCAGCAACAGCTCAGGAAAGGGGGCAAGGCAGAATGGGAAAAGAAGACATTAGAAGATTGGGAGAGGAGAAAATGGGGGACTTAGAGATGTGCTACAGCAGCTGAGGGAAGGGAGAAAGGAAGTCAGCAGCAAGTGCCTCGTGGGCGTGCTGTATTAGAGCGTTGGGCGGCGGCAGCACTTAGACTTATATACCGCTTCACAGTGCTTTACAGCCCTCTCTAAGCGGTTGACAGAGTCAGCATATTTGCCTCCAACAATCTGGGTCCTCCTTTTACCAACCTCAGAAAGGTTGACTCAGAATCGAACTCCTGGAGTGACCAGTGAGTTAGCCCACAATATTGCATTCTAACCACTGCACCACCATGGGGGCTGAAAAGATGGTGTTTTACTATCTTAGGTATTTGTGCTAAAATAGTGTTCTGGGGAATGTGATGTTGCAAGTGCCTTTTTTTTTCTTATTTTCTGGTAACTTTTATTGATTGCCTGGCTCTGTATTGGCCACCTGTTTGCCCTTGTTGATTCCAGTTTTAGTATTTATTTATTTATTTCTCTTTTTCCTTGTTTTAAAAGGAAGTGTCCAGCAGGAAGAAACTGTCAGTGGAAGCCAGATCCTATTCCAGCACTACTTCCCTTTCCTTCCCTCCCAATTTGCCTCCTGTGCTCCCCTTCCGTCCTCAGCACTCTTCACCCCAACTGCAGCACTTCTCCCATGATGCTCCAGTGACTACTATGGCGAACAAAATGCATAGACAATCAGGTAAATGACTGGGCTTTTTTAAAAAAAAAATGTATTTGTTAATCATTTTTAAAAAGACAAGAAAAAAGAGTGAACAAAGAACACAAAGAGAAAATAAAAATATTGGTACAGAAATATAAAATTGATAAGTAGATAAAGAATTAATACCTGGTGAGATCCTGGAAAAAGTAGCACGTTTGTGAGCACCAAGAAATGAACGTCCATTACTAGAAGCAAGTATGGGTTTGTTAAAACAGATCATGCCAGACAAGCCTTACTGCCTTCTGCGATACAGTCACTAAATTAGTGATCAGGGAAATGCTGCAGATATAGTTTACTTGGACTTCTGTAAGGCATTTGACAAAGTAGACCACAAACTACTTGGGAAGATAGAACAATGTGGGATAGACAGCATCACCACCAGATGGATTCGTAACTGGCTGACCAATCACACTCAGCATGTAGTTCTCAATGGAACTACATCTACATGGAGAGAAGCATGCAGTGGGATACCTTAAGGTTCTATCTTGGGCCCAGTACTCTTCAACATCTTCACAAACAATTTAGATGAGGTGATAAATGGGGAATTCCTCAAATTTGCAATGGCACCAAGGTGGGGGGGCTTGCTAACACTTTAGATGATAGACTTAAGATTCAGAAGGTTCTTGACAGACTTGAACATTGGGTCTTACCTAACAAAATTCAATTCATTGGTGAGAAAAATAAGATCTTTATATACAGGCAAGAAAAACTAAATGCATAGATATAGAATAGGTGGTACCTGGCTCAACAGTACCTGAGAGAGATCTAGGTGTCCTTTCCCCCTCCCCCCAGGAAGCAGTCCTAGTACTAGACCACTATTTAACTATGATCCCACAGTATCCTGTAGCTGCCATAAAGCTAATGCAGTCCTAGGTTGCAGATGGATAGTGGAAGGAGACCTTACACCTCAACTAGATCTCCCAAGAAAGCAGAACTCTTGAAACAGGCATTTTCTCAAAAGGAACTTTTATTAGGAACTATGAGAGCAAAGAATCAAAGCAAGGTCTGAGGAAAAATCCCACGCAAGCAGTATATCAAAAGCAATATCTGTTACTCCTTCTCCCAGGGTCCCGTGGTCCATTTGAATCTCATCCAATCCACACGTGCTTTATTATTTTGGTAACTGGCTCCTTCAAAATCTCTCATTTTCGTTTCCCTCTGGCTCCAAGCACAAACTGCCTTCCAGATAAGGGTGATATTATTTGGCTGCATTCCTTCTCCTGGGGGGAAGGGCAAAGTGGCAAGACAATGCAGAGCATCCCCCCCTCCCAGCAGAATGGTAGGCCCCAAGAAATGGTTACAGAAGCCTATATAGGATAGAAAGAAAAGCAATACATTTGTTTGGGGATCGTTTCAAGATCATGTGAAGTGAAAGTACCTCTTTATACAGCATTGGTGAGACCACACTTGGAATACTGTGTCCAGTTCTGGTCACCATGATACAAAAAAGCAGTTGAAACGCTAGAAATTCTGGAAACTAAACCATATGATGAATAACTGAGGGAACTAGATATGTCTAATCCAGTGGTTCTCAACCTTTTTAATGCCGCGACCCCCAACCGGTCGTAAGTCGAGGACTACTCAACCGGTCGTAAGTCGAGGACTACTCAACTGGTGCAGCACTGTTTGCAGAATGGGACTTTTGGCGGGCTCAGCAAGGCAGAGACAGCCTGGACAATTCCTATTGGCTTTTGAAAGCGAATAGAATTAGACTCTATTCAAGCACAGCTAAGGAAAAAGGAAAAAAATGGCGGACTGCATTGTTTGGCGACCCCCGTGAAATGGTCGTTCGACCCCAAATGGGGTCCCGACCCACAGGGTGAGAACCACTGGTCTAATCTAATGAAGAGAAGAAGTAGGGGTGATACAGTAGTAATCTTCCAATATTTGAGGTGCTGTCACAGAGAAGAGAGGATCAATCTATTGTCCAAAGCACCTAAAGGCAGGACCAAGAAGTAAGGGGTGGAAGATCATTAAAGAGATGTCCAAACTAGAACTAAGAAACTTTAATCAGCAGAATGGCTTATCTCTGGAAGTTGTATGAGCTGGAGGTTTCACTGGAGATTTTAAAGAAACTGAATAACCATTTGTCTGAAATAGTCTCCTTGAGCAGGGAATTGGACTAGAAGACCTCCAAGATCCCTTTCAATCCTGTTATTCTATATTCTAATTAACCAGGATTGTATAGCTAGCGCTCAGTGTATTTCTGATGAGAATTGAACTGTATAAAAGAAAGTACATTGAATTATTTTAATGATGAGAATAAGGATTTGAATCCTTGAGCTAAGGGCCAGAATCTCCAATATTCATTTATTTAAAGATACAAAAAGGAAAAGAAGAAAACTAAAACTTTATAGAAAAACATTAGCTTCTAACCTTCCCTTTGTACAACAGTTGATTAATGTACAATATTTATAGACTTAACTATTTGTGATTCTGATTTCAAGTGTTTCATCATTTTTTTTGTCTCCTGAAAACCATACTCTAAATTCTTACATTTTTCTTCATATGTTATATACAGTATAGTATGTGTGGAAGCCACTCTTGCTTAAATTTGATTAAGCTTCTTTTGTGAATATATGTGTCAGCCTTCCAGCTGATAAATTCAACGTCCAGCTGAGCTGCCACTGGTGCCTCACAAGGAAGAGTCAGTCCCAGTTTGGCTGTGGTCTGGATCTTCTTTTCTCCTCCCGATGTCATTATGCTATAATCTTCTCGGAACCCTCCAAATAGGCTGCACTCAAAACTTATGAGAGTTGATTTAATATCAGCCTTCTGGCTGGTGAATTCAACATTAAAGGAACTCTATGGCCTTGAGGTGCCATAAGAGATAATTTTTTATTGAATACACATCCCAGCACTGAAGAAGTAAAATCAACTCTAGTTTTCTCACGCGAAAATCTGATTAGTTAACAGTAGCTTTCCATAACCCCCACCCACTCATGTTGCCCAATCACATTCTCTCTGTTTCTTAAGGGAACGGTCCACATCTACGTCAGACACCTGCTTTGGATGACCTTGGGTCTCACAGTCTATGGACAGCTTCTTGAAACTCTTGTTTTTTTCCCATATTCCCCCTCCCTCCTGTTGAGCAGCGACAGAGGTTAGCAAGCATCTTAGCAGTTTAACCTTGACATGCCAACCCCCTGGAAAAGAAGGTAGATATAAGGAAACAATAAGTACATTTATTCAAACATTCAAACTTCATCACCTTGGACGTTGAGGGTATTTGTCATGAAACATCTGTAATCAATCAGCTTTAACATCTTGGGCTTTCATGCACTCAGCATCCGCTAAGGGATAGTCTCTTCACAGGACTAGGTACTGTACTCAGCAGAATTAGCCTGGCATACTGCATTCTAACCACTGCACCACCATGCCACTTAGGACATCCTTTCTTGTCATATACAGGTAGTGCTCAACTTATGACCAAAATTGAGACCAGAATTTCTGTTCCTAAGCAAGGTAGTTAAGTGAGTTGACTTCAATTTTAACAACCTTTTTTGCCATGATTTTGTCAAATGTCCAGCTAGTGAATCCAGAAAGAAATTCCTAGGATATTGTTCTTCCCAAAAGTAATACTTTTATTGAATACACTGCATTGGTATAAAAGAAGCAAAACCAGCTCTGAATTTCCCACTCAAATGTCCACATAATTAAACTTGAATTCCCTCTTTGGCCATCCCCTTCAGTCCATTGCGATGTCCAATCACATACACTCCTTTTGTTATGGGAACTGCTTGAATTGTTCAAACACCTGCGCAGCATGACCTTGAATGGGGGAGCAGGGCCTCATAATCTGCAGATTCTTGCCATTCCATTCCCATCCCATGAGATTCAACCACCTCCCTCCCAATTATTGTCAAGTTGAGAACAGAGAAGGAACTAGGTGAAAAGCGAATAACTCTTGACATGCCAATCCCCCAGAAGAACGATAAATCTGTAATTAGCACAAACATACAAATTCATAAACATGTACAAAGCACTGTTTCACTTTAGTCACTTAGGGTATCTGGCGTGAAACCTCTTTATTAGTCTAGCCACTCTAATGTCCTTTGTCGCCATCCATTTGGTATCCACTACAGCAGTGATGGGCAACCTTTTCGGCGTGGTGTGTCAAAATTCGGCAAAAAATCGAGCATAACTCGCGTGGTGTGTCACTTCGACAAAAAAACATAATTTTGTGCAATTTATAGTTTAAACTACAAAAATGTATAATTGCAATATATAATTGTATTTAATAAACCAAAAACAAATTATTTAACATACCTGCTTAGTAACTTCTTTGTTCATCAATCTGTCGATGTCGTATGTTGCCCTTGATATTATTGAACTTGTTTGGGGTGCCGTGAACTGAGATAAGTGAGGGGGAGGGCAAATTCTTTAACTAACCTGCATATTAGTGACTTTTTTGTTGCTGAATTTCATTGGCTAAATCTTCAATTGAAGGTTGATATTTTGTACACTTCAGGCCCAAGCAAGCGCTACTAACCTCATCTGTCAATCTGTTTCTTTTGTTGGTTTTGATATTATTTAATGCTGAGAATAAGGTCTCACAAAAGTACGTAGAAGGAAAAATTGTAAGTAAAGCTGTTGCTATATTTTTCAGGGTGCTAAAAGTGTCTGGTAGTCTGTTCCAGGCACTCCAAATTTCCTGTTCGTAGTGGCACTCATCTTGATTCTCCAAGCGGCCCCTTTCCAGATTCTCAAGCTTTGACCTCAAGTCGACAAACACCTGAGCCCAGATGCTGTCTTGAAATTCTGCAAGCTGCATCTCCAAATCATCTATTTGCGTCCATTCGAAACCATTTAATTCCAAACTATTGTAGACTACTACATCAGGATACTTAATTATTCTCATGGTCTGTTCTAGGCTTCTAAATTGACTAAATCTATCAGTAAACTGGTCAAGTAACGAGTCTAAAACATGCTGGCACTTCATATGCAAGAGTTCCACTACATTTCATACAGCTGCACTG